TGTTTCTTGCGATATTTGTTTATATATGGACTGTCCTGTGGCACCATCAAAGCCTATTTTTTATCTCAGAGAAAGACTATCTGGAGTGCCTTCAGTGCTAAGGACATCATACTGTGCCTGGCATATTCTATTTGATGTATGATCCACCAAAGCTTGCAATTTTATTTCAGCTGAAAAATCTGAGACAGATATATCTGCAGGATAGCATAACAACTTTGCATCTCGAACATCATTATATGGCGGATATATATCAAATCCCTTTTCAACTGCTTGATTTCTAATAATTTGGTAGGAAGCTTTTGTTAATTTAGCATCTAAAAAAAGACAAAGAGCTTCATCTTTAGACATTCTAAAATCTTTTTTTGAGGTTTTTTCAATTGGATTTTCTTTTCTCCTTTTAATTTCTGAAGCAAATTGCAACGCAGAAGCAGAATACATTTCAGTTAAGTGACTAACTTTATGTTATTTGGTTTTAGTAGAGTAGTCATCAAAGTTTGCCTTAACTGGCCTTCCAATAGGTATTGGTGTTATATTTATATCTTCAGGAACATGGCTTTGAAGCCATTTTTCATTCTTTTTTTCAAATCGAGCCATGTTGCTATCTGACTTGCGCCACCTATCTCTTAGATGCGCTAGTATAGTTCCTAATTGCTTCTTGTTGCAATCCAAGTTCATTGCCTCAATAAGTGTTCCCTCAATACCACAGTCAGATATTTGTAGATTATTACGCTTGTGCACTAAGAATGCATAGATATCAAAATATTTCATTTTCATCCTACAAATACAAAAAATATATTATTCATGAGACATTTGGACAACCAAACATGAAACAAGCTCCACATATTTACATGTTCATTTTAATGTGATAAAAAAGATGTTTTGCTGAAAAATTACAATGATTGGAGCCTGGGAACACAAAAAAAACCAGAATGTTGGCCCCCCTCTCCCAAACATGCAACTCATAAAAATTATGTATAGAGACGCAGTCGACATCCGTTGACAATAGGTAAAATATATATCGATTATGTACATATTAGACAAGATATTTCAAGTCTCAAATTTCTGGAGGACCTTGGAGCGCAAAAGTATTTTATTATTTAAGTGTAGTTTTCACTAAGAAAAGTACTTTAAATACGCAATCATTAGAAATCAATTTATTTGATATAAATTACGTGCAAAATAACTTTGCAATAAACCATTTGATAGATAATACTTAGTTTTATTAAATTATGCAATAAAAAAATTACGCTCAAAATATTAATAAATTTTTTTTGCTTATTAGTAACACGAAAAATATTATTAAATAATTAAAAAAATTAAAAAATACCTTTTTTAAAAACAGTTAAAAATGCAAACGACATGATAGTTATGCAGAAATATATACATTTTATAAAAGCCAGATGTTTAAGCTATAAAATGGTATATAATAATGCCATTTTTGAGAATGTTTTTAAAATACTTTTTTCCACCATCTGGCCCACTGTGAAACGTGTCAAACGTCGAGAAAATAAACAAATATTTTTACATTTAAAAAAATGAAGCATTCCAAAACATTTTTAAATAACAACATTTCTACATTAATGATTTAAAGTAGTTTTGAGGTAATTAAGTAAATTGGTGCTGTTAATGTCGATAAATATGAAAAGCAAATAAAAAGCATTTACTGACGTCAAAAATCGCAGTTTTTATTCATCACAAGGCCTGGTGTCAGATATTTTCCAGAAAGAATTCTACTTTAATAAGTAAAATTGATGTTGTGTTCATCTTAAGTTGTTTTATACAATACCCATTGTATTTCATCGCATAGACTAATGAATTTTTGTCATTCTTGCCATCCACACCAATTAATTTTAGCTGTGAAACTTATTGACAATGATTAGTTTCAATTAAACTAGTAACTTGCTTTTTAACAAAACACCTTATATTCTGTTATTATCTAAGATTTGTTATTCTTAGTTACTACTCCATTGTCAATTAAAGTAGCTGTTGCTATTGCAGCTGTAGCAGCATCATCTTATCGCAGTCTTATAGCAGTCTTAGCTAAATTAGTAATCATTTTTAGTAATCATCATCATCATCATCTTCATCATCATCATCTTCATTGTTTTAGCTTCTTTGCTTGCATGGGTTAGACTTTTCTCAAAATGTCATTTCTCTAACATATCGGGTGGACACGGAAAAATCCGGTCAACTTTAAATTGAGATTTCTCTAAAACCATAAGTGCTTTTTATTTCAATTTTTTTATTATTAAATGTGTTTACATAAATTAGAGTTTCAACTTGATTTTAAGGGCCTTGATGGGTTGCTTAGCAAGAAATCAAACTTTATAGCGGGTTGATGCCATCATTTAAAAGATTTTTTCTTTTTTTACCATATTGGTGGCATTAATCCACTTTTTTTGGAAGCCCTTTTTATTATTTGTTAGTCCACCTGTCTTACGAAGAACTCTTTTAACTATTGCCCAAAAATCTTCAGTCTTTCGCTCTTCAGGACGATTTGGAGGATTCTTTAGGAACAATTAACACATTATTATCTTTGCACCACTGTAGATCTTTTTTAGAATAGTGAGAGACAGCAAGATTGGGCCAAAAGAGACATCGATATTTGTGTTTTTTCATAAAAGGCATAAGTCTTTTTTAAAGGCATTCTTTGATGTAAAGGTTGTCAGTCAAGGTCTTTTTAGTGACAAAACAAGTGGATTGCATACCACAGCTACAAATTGCTTGCCACACAAGGAACTTGGATGGAAATTTTTCTCCTCGAATATGTTTAAGTTGATCATCGACAAGTTTATCTTTGTTTTCATAGTAAAACTGTTGAACAGGAAGTTGTGAAAAATCTGCCTTGCAATACGTTTCGTTGTCTTCAATTATGCACATATTAAGAGAAGTCTTAAATTTTCTTGCTAGATCTTGCTGTGACTGATTTGGATTTCTTGCTATTGAACGTAAAATCGACTTTACCTTTTTGGATTTATGGAAAGTTTTTTTTCTTCCACTTCCAAGTTTTCTTTCGAAGCTTTGAGTAGTCTTGAACTTGTTTATAATATCTATGACTGTAGATTTTGGGACATTTCTGCGTTTAGCAATCAAGCGATAGGAAGTCGATGGATTTTTGCAAAATAAATTCACAACGTTTTTACGCACCTCAACTTGTTTCCAAAACATTTTGCAAATCATTAATTTGTAAACAAAAATTTATCAACACCATTTAAGATAAGGAAGTAGGGTTTAATTAAAATAAAAATTAAATAAAAAGCATTTGTGGTTTTGGAGAAATCTCAATTTAAAGATGACCGGATTTTTCTGTGTCCACCCGATACACAGACTTGAACATCTTCTTTCTTTAAATGTATCTTTTTCAAATCATCTGAAACACATTTTTTCCAAGTTTTTCTGCTTTTACCTCTAGCTTTTTTTTCTAAAACTTCCAACTCTTTACATGCTGATATCCAGTCATCTGCATCTTTACGCTTTACAAGCTCAAACCACTTAAATCTTCCATGACGCAACCAATCAGATATACTCACAATCCCTAATCTTTTTTTTAAATCGTCACTGCTTTTATTGTCTTTTAAAGTCATACCGCATATACATCTGATAATAATTTTTTCTGTTCTTCCAAAGCTGGTACACTAATTCAATCTCTTTTTCAACTTCTCTATACTCACCAAAAGAATATTTTCTACACTTAAAACCAACAAATCAATATCTACATCTCTTCAATATCTTCATCTCTTAAAAAGCCATCGCATACAAACTGTACAAACTATAGAGTTTACTTCAACTCTTCCTATACACTTCATAAGGCCACTTCCCAGTATTTCTGCTAGCTCATTCTTGACTTTACAATGCATAATGTTTGTCTTATTCATGTTTATCTTTTTCCCTTTTGCTTTATTTCCATCTTTCCAAGTCTTGAACCTTAATGCTAACTCTTCTTCTGTTTCAGTAATTTCTGATTAATTGCTTTCGGTAACTATTTGCTCCTCAAACACTTCATTTAGTTTAAAAATGTAAATAACTATTTATATGGTTTCACTTTTTAAAATTTTTTATAAATATAATATATTAAAAGGTATGCGGACTAAGTGATGAGGGATGTGAGGTGACCTGAGCTAGTGTGTGACTTCATAAAGGGTCGATCATGTTTTAGTATTAACAAACATGTAAAGTATTATCAAACATTGTTTGATTATGCTTGTATTACATTTTGAAAATGAAATTTATAAGGTAAACATAAAGCAACTTAGGGCCTTCACTTAGGACCTTCTGACTATAAGGCTTAGGGCCTTTGACACTAAGGGCCTCCACTTGTCATGATTTTCCACTCATTGCATAAATAACATAAATAAATGTAATTAATAATGTTATATCCAATTAAAAACATTATGTAACTTAATACAAACATTTGTACAGTAAGCAAAAAAAATTTATTAAGATAACTAGTAAGCTAATTCATTTTTAAATCGATATTTTATGTAAATCCAAATAAAGTATTAAGTTTACAATTTACTAGTTAATTTGCATTTCAACTTGGTAAATAGTTTTTTATTACCTGCAGAAATTTGTAGTTTTTTTGTAAATTGCTTTATTTATAACTGTTTACTGTCTGAAAAGTTTTGTTCTCAAACGTTAAGAGAATTTGCTCATAAATTTGCACATTTTATTTTTATGTTTCCAAAAAAGATTACAGTTTTTTTTCACTTTTTTTTTTTGTGGCAAATAATTTCTATATATAGAATACATAAATCCCATGCTGAGCCAAAAGATATCTGATACATGACAATGGCTTAATATATATATATATATATATATATATATATATATATATATATATATATATATATATATATATATATATATATATATATATATATACACACACACACACACATATATATTTAAAAATAAAATTACATACACACATATATACAAAAAACAAAATATTAAATGAATACTGTAAGAATATTAATACTTATTTAAATTGTGATTTTTAGCTCCTCTGTGTGGTTTGATTGTTAGTCGAGACCTATTAATTGCATCTGCTGCGGCACACTTTCACTATAAACACCTTACTCCTCCTGTATGTTGAATTTTCTATAATCTTTTTGTTTTTTATTTTATTTTTATTTATTTGAAAAATGAGTTGTTTTGATGATTCTGTTATAATTATAATAATTTATTCAGTACTAGCATTAGCATATATTATTCAGCTCTTAGTGGTTGATTAAAAAATAGAAAAATAACGATTCATTTTGGTTTTGGAAACATTTATAAAAGCACATAATGATCAAACATATGTATGGTTGATTTATCCATGCCAATTTGTTTATAGATCATTTGCTTACAACTTTTTTATAAATCTTTGTTTCAAATTAAGATAAGTGTTTCAGAGAGGTAAAAGAGACTATAGAAAAAAGATAAAATTAGGTTTTATTATGTTACCATTAATTACTTGGATAAATAAAAAGTTTCCTCTTAGGTTTTGTTATGTTATCATTAAAGAGGTTAATAAGTATAATATGTTATAAAATGCTATAAAATACTAAAGCAAGTAATTTATTTTTTAACAAGTCCTTAAATATAAAATATATCATATTTTATATTTAAGGACTTGCTATATCTTTCTATTTTATTATTTTAAATAATACACCATAAATTTTATTTTATAAAATAAATTTCATTCTATACATACATATATTAATATATTTCATTTTATACATCTGTACATTAATGTATTTATTTTATTAAATCTTTTGAACCTAGTGTTTAATAATTTTTTATTAATAATAAATTTTAACAATCAGAGTTTGCTCTGAACAATTAGAATATTGCTCTAAACAGAAACAATCACCCAAAAATATCTCTCACCCAATAAGTGATATTGGTAGAGGAGGATATGTCACCCAATCTCTCACAAATAAGTGATATTGGTAGAGGAGGAGGCATAAACTTCTTAGTTATATGATCTTCTGTGGTGCTCTGTGATAAGACTATAAGGACGTATCACAGACCAACACAGAAGATCATTCTGGGACCGGGAGCACCATAATAACCACAAAAAAAATGTTTGATACCTTTTAAAAAATGTATGATTCTAATTTTCCATTGTACAAAATAGTTTTAAATGTTAAAGAAAATTATTTTCTTGGATTACAAAAGGTTTTTAAAATTTCCCAAAAATTAGGCAGAAACTCTACATTAAGTTTCTAAAATCATAATTATTAAAAAATACAAAGTATTAAAACTTATTTGTCACTTTATTTGTGCTTAACTAAATAAGGATCTTGTACATTGCAAATATTATATTTGGCTTTTAAGATTTTATAAAAAATATTTTTTCTAAAATCTTCAGAGCATCAATTTAATAAAGATAATTTCCAAATTGCCTGAAAGTGATATAAGAATATAGTTAAGTGAAAATTCTATAGTCTCCAAATATAATTTGAAAAATTATAAATAAATATACAGTTTAAATTTGCCAAAAAACTTTAGCTGATCCCAAGAAGCGAACTAATCAAGGTGAAGGGTTTAGCATCAAATTACATGAGTGAAATTCATTATAACCCTGTAAATGGACATGTCTTTGACAATCTTTAAATCTTGGTAAGCTTCACAAATAAATGCCAGCTAATTATGTATTAACTCCTTTGGAGTAAAATTTTTTGTATTTTGGCAAACAATGTTGTTTTTATTATGACAGATAAATACTGCAATGAATAATATAATGAAGAAAGTGGAAAATCATCCAAATTGTGTTAATTGCACTGCATTGCACAAATTGTGTTTATTACATTGCATTGGCAGTTATCAAGGTTTCCTAAGATAGAAATAATTACTATTTATCAGAAAATGTAAGTGAACAGGAAAATTTAACTAGTCTAAAATCAGAATATTTTTCAGAAGATGAGGAAGGTTATGATATTAATATTTTAGAGCCATCATCTGAAACAAACGCAGTCTGATAATTAGATATGCAAATATATGTTCATTAATAGAAAAATTTAAAAAAATGATTTTTTATTAATAATGTTGTGCACTACAGAATAAATTTTTAAAATGTGCATAATTACCAGTAATTACAGGTAAGCTTCAGTTAGTTTATCTAACTTTTGAGTAAATTTGAAATGCATCCTTTTTTTTTGAAAAAAAGTAGTGTTTCTTCTTAATACTAACATAATGAATAAATGAAGAATTTTTTCTCCTGGTTAATAATTTGAACAAGGGAAAGTGGGGAAGCATTGTAATTGTGGAGGCATCTTAAGAGTTGTGGCAACCACTTTAATATGGTGAAACAGTTATTAGGGCTATGTTGTGAAATTTTTTTTTTCCTTTGACAACATTAGGCCTGTGAGAGTTCCCCATGAAATTGGTTTTTTTTAATGACAAAGTTAGTTTTTAAAGTTCATAAGTTTTAAAGTATCTTTGTTTCTCATTGTGTTTACCGGTATGTAACAATTTGTAAACTAAATTCTGAAGTTGATGCTAAAAATAAATTGATTGTTTTCTATTAGCAAGGATATATAGCATATATAGATATATAGCAAGGTAACTTGATATAGCATTTGTAGGGGCCCCTAAAACTGTTAAATAGTACTTCTTTGTCATAAACAATTTTAAAAATTATTCTTTTAATACTTACAGTCAATTTTTAAGAGGTGTATGTAAAGGAGTAAATATATTCTATCTGTTAACTAGTCTCGCATCCCTTCTTCGTCTATTAGGCTGGCACAGATGTATTTATGATACATTGTTTCCAGTTTCCAGTGAATGCTGGATCTTCTTGATTCGATGTGTGGGTTTTGCTTGTGCTTCTGTTTTTATGACTAGGCAACTCATTTTATTATCTCCTAATGAGGGTACAGCTCTAAAACTCAGTTTTATGGTTCTGAGGCCGGCTGGTAGTCAGGTTTCCCGAACTCTGTGGTAGCTCTCAAAGAGGCTGATTCCATCAACAGCTGTAAAATATCAAAGTACTAACAGTGCCATGTTGTGCATGCATGGTATCCCTGTTCGTACTTTTAGTGTGCATTGTCAAGGCCACATTTGGAGCCTTTGTTATGGCTTTGGGTTTATTTTTATTAATGAGGCAGTTGCTTGGATTATTAAATATTGAACTGAATTCTATCTATGCTTTAAGTGAAGTTTTTTAAGAAATCCATCAAAATGACTAAAGTACTAAAAACTATAAAACACAAAAAATCATCGTCATAACCAAGTTCTTTAAACCTATCATTCATTAATATTTGTGTCTTCGAAGTAACTTTTCTTCTGTTGAATTTTATCTCTTGTAAAGTTCAACAGACCTACTTGCTCTTTGTGAGACTAATTAGAGTTTGGCTGTCTCATCTTTTGATCTTAGTGTTGATGGTTATCTTCCTTTAATTCCAAAAGACTCATATAGTCACATGCTTGGCCTGGGTATTTACATTTGTAAAAATTCACCTATTTGTCGGGAAAATAAGTTTGAATCCACCAACTATTCTTTTGTGTCCTTTCTTTTAGCACCACTTCATTCTATCGTCTTTCTCTTTGTTCTATCGCTCTCCTTTATCTCAAGACTGCACTCTTTTTGATGTTATTTTTGATCAAATTGACCAAGCCCTCTCTCTTTATTCATCAGCCAATATCTTTGTTGTTGGTGACTTTAATGCTTATCACTCTAACACACTGAATGGCGTGGCTCTAGTGTCAGTGATTCTGCATATGTTAAGGCCAAAAATTTTTGCCTTTTTCAATCTCTAACTCAAAGTGTCAACCCTCCAACTCACTTTCCAGTCAACTCGAATCATTTGTCTACTCTATTGGACTTATATCTTGTTTCTGATCCACATTCACCCTTAGGTACTTCTGATCATGGTTTGATCTCTCTAAAACTATTATTTCATTTTTCTTCAGAACCCCCCTATCATTGCAACTACTTTAAAGCTGACTTGGGCTCTTTCCATAATTTTATTTGTGATGGCCCTTGGGTAGAAATCTTTCATCTTCCTGCTGACAAATGTGTTTCTTACATAACTTTTTGGATTTAGGCTTGTATGGAATTATTTTATGCCCTCTCGACAGTTCCAAGTCAAGCCTCTCTCTTCTCCATGGTTTTTCTCACATTGTGCTGCTTCAACTTCCAATCGAAACCATTACTTTCATATCTATCAGCAAAACAATTCTCCAGAAAACAGACGTCTGTTTACTATTGCTAGAAGCCATTGTAAAAAGGTTTAGTCTAATACAAAAGCCTGCTGTTCTTAGGTCATGAAATCTCGTATTTTATCTCAAAAAATAGGCTCTTGTGACTTCTGAAAAATTCTTACAGTATCAGTAATTAGGGCAAATCTGTTATTCCACCTCTCTTGTATGGTTCAGGTTTTGTCATCGCGCCTAATGACAAAGCTGAATTGTTTGCTAAGAACTTTTCTTCAATTATCTCTTCTCATCAATCTTTTACTAGTTGCGTTCTACCTGATATAGCTGACTAACAAGTTGATCCATTTCTTGAGATTTGTATCACATTCACATTTTTTAAAACAAAGATTATGCTGGAAACAAAAACATGTTGAAAGTAAATATTGGTTTAAAACAAAAAAGTTAAACGAGAAGATTAATTTGTTTAAAGAAAATTGTAATTAAAAAAAATTTCACTTAAAAGATTTTTTTAAACCTTTTTAATTACTTTTTTTGTATTCCTTATTTCTTTTCCAAATAGCAAAATATCATAAAACACATTAAGAATTTATTTAGTTTTTTATGAATTTGAGAGTTCAACCTTTATTAAAATCTTTTTCTAAATGCTTGTATTTGCTTTAAGTACAAATGTAATTATGTTAAGTATAAATGTAATTATGTTAAGTATAAATGTAATTATGTTAAGTATAAATGTAATTATGTTAAGCATAAATGTAATTATGTCAAGTTTAAATGTAATTATGTTAAGTATAAATGTAATTTCTTAGTGTTTAAATCATTAATTTTTTTTAATAGAAAACTTTAAAGAAATTCTTTGATTTTGAAAATTCTTGTGTCAAAATGGATCCAACTCAAATCAGCAAGGTTTGTGTTAACTTTTTTGTCTTATAAGCAGATAATTTAGATCATATTCTATTCCAGGCGTAGTTATAAACTTTAAGTATACTGGAAATAAACTAATGAGGTCATATATAGAAACTATTAAGAAGACAATTAAAAAAGATAAACCGACAAACACAGTTTTGATATTTTACTTTATTTAATTTAGCAATGATGTAATGTTTTAAATTATCAAAACTTTTAATAATTTCTTATAAAATAAATATAATCGTCCATTAAATGTTCATAATTCTATAATGCAGATATTTATATTAAGTTAAAGGAGTTTGAAAACAATTAAAAACTAATTTAAACTACTTATAATTATCTTAAAACAAAACATAAAAACTTTAAAATCTCTTTATTATTATTTTATTATCAAGTAATTTTTAATTCAAAACATTTAAATTTTTATATAAATAATTCCTAAAGTTTCCCCCTAAACAAAAACCCATTTTAATGTTACATACTATGCGCAAATAGCTTTAGTATAATTTTTTATTGGTTGATTTTTAAATTCGCAAAAAATTTTAAAATGAAAGTTTTTAAATTTTTTAGACTTTTTTTAAATATTTTTTATCCCTTTTTTATTACTTATAATGCTTAAATTACCTGGTGTTTAAACAAATACTTAAAATATGTAAGTTTTGACTCTTACTATTTTTGCAGTAGAAAATTTATTTTTCTACTGCAAAAATATGTTTTTTCATTAATTTTTGCAATCAGATAAAATGACTATTTCATTAAAACTGCTCACAGTTCAATAAACTGAGAATTTGAGGACCAGAAATATTTATATGTATGTATTAATTAGTCATAAAGTTCTAAGCGTTTTGTTACATGTAATTTTTAATGTATTTTTTTAAATGTATTTTATTTATTCCATTGTTTTGAAGAAAAAAACTAAAATGTTTAAAATTAATTTGAAAAAACCATTTCAAACTATTTTTTATTTGAATTTCTAATTGAGGCAATTTGCCTCAGAAACAACTCAATAAATTGCCCTAGTGTATGGACCTAAATAGTATTAAAGAAAGTATTGCTTGTCGTTGGTTTTCAGCTTTAAAAATGAGCATAATGGTAGTTCTACGAAACCTAAGGCAAAGATTTTATGAATCTTGTAGAACCTGAATGATCCTAAATGGTTCAGGGAAGATTGCAAATGAACAGAAAATGACATGTTTTGAGGTTTGTTCTTTCTTACAAAATGCTATATGGATCAAGTTGTTATTTTTGATAAAAATTAAATAGTTGATAAAAATGATCTTTTGATAAAAAAGTTTTGATCAAAATATAAACAAAAATGTTTAGGATAGTGATTAGTGATATAGTGATAGGATTGGTTGGATGCTGAGGAGCTTGACGGGCAGTTTCCAAAGGCAAAGAGTAATCTGAAAATTTTTATGATTATAGTATGGTGGTTTATGGCTGGTGTCATTTGCTACAGTTTTCTACAACCAGGCCAAACCATTACTGCAAATTCCTACTGTTAGGAAATTAAAAAAATGTATTAAAAATTACCTGAGCAACAGGCAATGGTAACAAAAGAGGTCTGACCTTATTGCAAAACAATGCCAGTTTACACTTTATTTTATAAATCACTGTCCAAAATTTTTACAAAATGCATGTCGAAGTTCTTACTTGCCCACCGTACAGCATAAAAACAACCATTTTCTGCTGACTTAATCAAATCATGAATATCCAGTTTTTCTAAATTGAGTAAATGTTCTGAAAGTTACTATGGTTTAAAGTTTAAGTTTTTTTTTTTTTTAAACATCTTTGCTTCCAGTAAGGCTGCAAGCAAACACTAATTAGTGTTGTAAGTTACTGGAAGAGAAAAGACGAAGATTGTAGAGCAAGATAACGATTGACAGATGACTTAAAAGATTGCAAATTGTATGAATCAGGAAAGCAAGATGATGGAAGCGATTTCCAAAGAACTGATGGTCGAGGAAAAAAACTAGACGACTTTTCTGGTGTTAACCTGTATTCTAGATCAGATCTTGGTATTTTTATGTTATAAATACCATCTGGGAAAAATACCATCCGAGGTGTACAAAATTCTCCTATCCTTACTGTGATGTTAACAGGGGTTTTTAGATCACGGTTTTTCTTATCATTAGTTTCATTAGCTTCACCACACCTAAGGAGCTTAATTTGCCCCATATAAGACATGTATCAAAAAAAATATGCGCGTACATTTTAAAGGATTATAATTTAACTATTGTATTTCAATAATTATGTGTTAGGTCAGGAGTATGTCTTCATGATCATCCTGCTACTGGTAACATGTAACCCAGTGCAACCTGTTCCATGTTCTGCTGCCTTGCAGGATTTGCTTTCTAAGCAAAAGCTGGAAAGATTGTGCTTCCTGTCATCAGTACTATCTTATATCAGTCATGCCTATAGTAATATTTTTTTATATATATATATATAGTTGGAGGTGCCTTAGTTACTGTATTAGCTCACCTGTAATCTACTTTATATGTATGTTTGTGTTCTGTCTGAACCTCTGGCGCGGTGTTCGCTCTCCCGTAAGTTACTTTATGTTTTTTATGTTTTTTTATGTATGTTTGTGTTCTGTCTGAATCTCTGGCGTGGTGTTCGCTCACCCGTAAGTTACTTTATGTTTTTTATGTATGTTTGTGTTCTGTCTGAACCTCTGGCGCGGTTTTGACTCACCCGTAAGTTGATTTATGTTTGTTTGTGTTCTGTTTATTCTCTGATGCAGCGTGAGCTCAGTAACTAGCTACTTACTCCAACTACAAAACCTACACTCACCTTAGACTCCTGTATTTTGTTAGATGCAGTGTTTTTCCTAATGCACTTCCATAATGTCATGCCTGGTTTTCTCAAAGTACTGTTGCGGGAAGAAACTCCTTTTAACTACTCCAGGTCAGGTCAGGATAATCAAGATCAATGTTGCTACTGGTATCACGTAACCCGCTACCACCTGCCACTAGCCCTGCTGCCTTGCAGAGTGTGCTCTTCTTAGGCAAAGGCTAGGAGAAATAAACTCTGACTAAAAATTCCCCTGCCTTGGGGCTCTTGGTTGCTAACCAGCCTCGAACCCCTTCTTCATCTATTAGGCTGGCGTAGATGTAACCTGTGTTACATTGTTTTCCTGCCTAGGATGATGAATGCTGGATCTCCTTGACTCTACTCATAGTATTTTGCTTATGCCTCCTTGATAATTGGTATGCAACTTCCTGTTATCTCCATAAGAGGGTACAGCTCTAAAACTCAGTTTGATGGTTCTTAGGCCAGCTGGTAGTAAGGTTTCTTGAACTCTGTGGTAGCTCTCAGAGAGGCTGATTCCATCAACAGCTGCAAAATATCAGAGTATTAGATCTTATTCCATCAACAGCTGCAAAATATCAGAGTATATCAGAGTATCAGACACCATCCATGCGCAACAGTGCCATGTTGCGCATGGATGGTGTCCCTGTTTATGCTTTTGGTGTGCATTATCAAGGCCACATAAGGAGCCCTATGTCACGGCTTAGGCTTGATTAACAGGACTGAGACAACTGCATGCTCTATCTATGAATGAGTCAAGTTCTCATTAAACCCAAATCATGACCAAAGTAACCAAAAATTTTTAACCTAAAAAACCATCCCCACCACCTAAATGTTTTAATATATCTTTTACAAATAATGGCGGTCTGCAAAGCAGCTTTCGGTCAGTTGAGTCTTACCTCCTGCAAAATTCTCAGACTTGCTTGCACTCAGCGAAACAAATTTAAATTCTGCAATTCCTTCTTCAGATGTCAGTGTTGATGGGTACTATCCTTTGATTCATAAAGACTCCAATAGTCACATGCTAGGTTTAGGGGTATACATACACATTAATTCCCCTATTTGTCGTGAAATCAGGTTGGAATCCTTTGACCATTCTTTTATGTGCTTTCACCTAGCACCTCTTCACTCTATCACCTTTCTCTTTGTTCTTTATCGTTCTCCTTCCCGTGATTGCACTCTTTTAGATGTTATCTCTGATCAAATTGACCATGCCCTCTCTCTTTACCCCTCTGCCAATATTGTTGTTGTTAGTGATTTTAATGCCCATCACACTGAGTGGCTTGGCACTAACACCACTGATCCTGCTGGCGCTAAAGTCTTTAACCCTAATCATTTACCTTCACTCCTTAACTTATGTCTTGTCTCTGACCCTAACTTATGTTCAGTTTCTCCCTTTTCTCCCTTTTCTCCCTTAGGTGATTCTGACCATGCAATGATCTCTATAAATCTTTCTTCTCATACTTCTTTTTTGGGCTCACCTTATCATCGTACCACCTACTACTACCCTAAAGCTGACTGGGATTCTTTTCGTGATTTTCTTCCTGATGGTCTTTAGGCTGATGTTTTTTCTCTCTCAGCTGATTAATACGCCTCCTACGGAAGTTTTTATTCCTTCTTGTCGGTTTCAAGTCAAGCTTCATTCTACTCCATGGTTTTCTCCTTCTTGTGCGGCTGCTATATCCAATCGTAATCATTTTTTTCATCTTTTTCAAAAGAACAACTCTCTTGAGAACAAACAGCTATTTATTATTGCAAGAAATTGATGTAAAAAGGTGCTTTCTGATGCTAAACTCCATTATTCTCAGTTCACTAAATCTCACATCTTATCACAGAAGTTAGGCTCTAAAGACTTTTGGAAAATCTTCAACAACATTCTTAACAAGGGTAGATCTAACATTCCATCTCTCATTCATGGGACTAATCTTATTACCTCTCCCAAGGATAAGGCAGAACTATTTCTTCTAATTCCACTCAAGAACTTTTCTTCTAATTCCACTCATGAATCTTATGGACATTCTCTTCCTTCTATTCCAGTCAAACAGGTTGACCCATTGGTAGACATTCAAATCACTCCGGTTTCTGTTGCTAAAGTCATATCTCAATTAAACTCGTCTACAGCTTGTGGTCCAGACAACATTTCTATCACAGTCTTGCAGAATTGTTCTCCAGAACTTTCCTCAATTTTCTCTGAACTATTTAACAAGTGTTTGACTGAGTCTTGTTTTCCTGCTTGTTGGAAAATGGCATCTGTGGTTCCAATATTCAAAAACTCTGGAGAAAATTCTGACCCCTCCAATTATCGTCCGATCTGTCTTCTTTCTGTTATTAGCAAGGTTTTTGAGTCTTTGATCAACAAATTCTTCACATCTCATCTTGAGTCAAATAAACTACTGTCAAACAATCAATACGGTTTTCGATCCTCTCGCTCTACGGCTGACTTGCTAACTGCTGTAACTGAAAGATTTTATCGTGCATTAGATGGAGGCGGTGAGGCTAGGGCTATTGCTCTCGAAATATCTAAAGCTTTCGATAAAGTTTGGCATGCTGGTCTTCTCCATAAGCTTGCTTCATATGGTGTTTCTGGGAAAGTTTTTGAGATTATCAAATCATTTCTTTCTAACCGGTTTATTAAAGTCATCCTTGAAGGCCAACACTTTTCTTTGTTTCCAGTAACTTCTGGGGTTCCCCAAGGTTCCATCCTGGGCCCTGTTTTGTTTCTTATCTACATAAACGATCTTCCTGACAACCTTTCATCTAAAGAAGCTCTTTTTGCTGATGACTCAACTTTATACTCCTGTCTTGACAAAAAGTCTTCTCTTTTCAATCGCCTAGAACAAGCAGCTGATCTTGAATCTGATCTCACTTCAGTAATAGATTGGGGTTCACAGTGGCTTGTGAATTTCAACTCTAAAAAAACCCAATTGCTTACTGCAAACAACTACCGTAATATGGTCAACATTCCTATATTAATGAATGGCAATCCTCTTACTGAGTCCTCCTCTTTAGGTCTTCTTGGATTATCACTTACTACTAACCTTTCATGGAAACCATATATACAATCGATTGGTTCTTCTAACGATTCAATTTCTCTTCTTGACAAGATCCAAAAATGCATTGTAAATGTTGTTGGACCTGGACTATCTGCTAAGCTTGAGCTTAGCAGATAGTCATTCAGCGAAGTCTCATTCGTTTACTGTATCTGTCCCTGCATGCTCTAAAAACTTTTATTCAACCAATTTTTTTCCCCGCACTTCAAATCCTTTGGAACTCTCTCTATCTTCATGTTTTCCTGACTCATACAACCTTCAACTTTTCGAGTCTTCTGTCAACCGTTTCCGTGCTCCATAACTCTGTTCTTTTTTTTTTCCTAGTAACTCCCAACTTAATAGTGGTTGATTGCAGCCTTGTTAGGAGTAAATGCAAATTAAAAAAAAAAAAAATTGAATGTTGTATATATTTTGAAAGTACATATATTAATATTCTTAAATTTCACTTAAGAAAGTTTGTGAAGTTTTGTACGTCAAAACGCACATACATTGCGTTTAACACTTGACATCAGCTTTTGCACAGTCTTTGGCTGGACTTTATTGGTAGCTTTAATCTATTTATTTTTGAATTTTTTAATGTTTTTGGCTTCTTTTAAATTGAACCTTAGTTTTCTTTTGACAAGAGCCCAATATCTTTCGATAGGGTGTAGTCAGGGACAATTTGGCAGATTGCAGCCAAAATAAAAGGTTGCCTGTGTGTGTTCTTAAAAATGTCAAAAGAAGTTTCTTGAGGGATTCTTTTATTACATTCACAAATCGCTTGCCAAACTAAGAATTTTTTAGCGAATTTTTGCATTCCAATGCATCTATAATTGGAATTCAGTTCCTTGCAATTAATTGCTGAAGAATATTGGTGTCCTGGAAGAGATCGGAAATATGCAGCACCATAACTTTCATTGTCAATAATCAAACAAGATTTTTTAGCACATAATTTTTTATATAGCAGCTTTAAACAACAAATTGCAACATTTCCTTGCTTTTTATAAGATTTATAACCACAATTTTTTTTTCAATCTTTGTATAGTGGAAGCACTTGTCTTGAATTTATTCACTAAAGTTCGAACAGAAGTCTCCGTTTTCTGTCTAAGGCATCTTTCACTTTTTTATCAAGAACTCGTCTAACAAAACTTTTTTTTTTCCACTTCCAGTGTTCAGAAATCGTTACACAAGGCTTTGCACTGTTCTCAAAGCAATTTGCAATTCCTTAGAAATTGTTTTGTTTGATTCACCAGGATTTTTAACGTAAAAATGCAAAAAAAATTCATGTTTCTTTCCTCTAATTGTTTTAATAACAGAGTTGTTTAAATTTTGAATAATATTAATACAATGACATTTTAAAACAATTAGCTAAGTAAAATGATATACGCTCTCCATAAACACCACATCAAAACACGCGCAGATATTTTCTGGTACATGTCTTAAAACCAGTTCAACAGAATCGTCATGGCAAAATCCTTGATAATTCTGTAGAGTCATCAAGGGTTCTACAGAATCCTTGATGGTTACACAGATGTAATATCTCCGTATTTTGACTAAATATGAAAATATAGCATGTAGGAAAAAAATGTCTTGTAATAAATAAATGTCAAGCAATCCAGTGTTTGAAGTGAGATCTGGGGATTTTTTTGATCCATTCGTAGGGAAGGAGGCGTGAACTTCCTAGTTTAATGTTTATATATATATATATATATATATATATATATATATATATATATATATATATATATATATATATATATATATATATATATATATATATATGTATATATATATATATATATATATATATATATATACATATATACATATATTCATATATATATATATATATATATATATATATATATATATATATATATATATATATATATATATATTATTATTATTATTATTATTATTATTATTATTATTATTATTATTATTATTGTTTATATTATTAGTATTACTTTTATTATTACTTAACAATTAATTTTATTGTGTAACTTGTACTTTTTTTATTTAGTACAATACTTTTCTTCAACTTGGATTAGTTTCACTTTCAGTTTCTGCTCCTTTGTTTAACTTTGTTGGACATCCTTTATTGCAAGTTTACTGGTATGTAATTTATATAATTTCTTATAAAGGATTCGGCTTAATTTTCACTTGCCCATAAATCTTTAGCTACATATTTTGCTACTAATTGATTGTATGTAATATTTTTTAACAAATTCACTCCCAATAAGTAAAAAAATAATTAAATCCCAACATGGCTGCCAACAACCATGATTTAATTTAGAAGTTAACAGAAAACAAAGAAGAAATAAAGAGCAAGAAAATGGTTGACTCAAAAAAACTGTTTATTGTATGAGTCAGGAAACCATAGAGTGGAGACAAAGTTTGAATGTTTTAGGATAAAAATGATGACAAGTCACACAAGAAGAGGAGCAAGCTTGCTTAAGTAGCAACCATGGTTGTATTTGTAGAAGAGAGAAAGACATGAAGCCTTATGACAATGAGAGACTTTAAACTTGGCAACTACAGAAGGTCCATCTACATTTAAAGTACAGCTATGTCTAGAAGAGCAATGGCAAGTATTAGAAGTACCAGCATATATATTACAACAGTATTCCATACAAATAAGATATTTTTAGTTGTAGAGAATGTAATTCGGGGTAAGAAAATGGCAACATGATAAAAATAGGCAAACTTAATAGATGCCAACTTTCCAATGAATATATATATATATATATATATATATATATATATATATATATCAGGGGTGTGGAGTCGTAAAAAAAAAAGTAACCACTCCGACTCCAGTTGTTGAAATTTTTTGAGTACAACTCCGACTCTGACTTCAGTTGTTGAAATTTTTTGAGCACAACTCCAACTCCAAAGCAAAATTTTTGAAAAATTATTTGAATTCTTTTAAAAATATTACTATTGTTATTATTTATAATAACGATAGTAATATTTTTTAAAGAATATAAATTATTGATATCGTTTAATTTAAACCTCTATATATTTATATATATATATATATATATATATATATATATATATATTAGGGATATGACTTTTTAAAAAAAAAAATTCCCTGGCCCAAAAATGGATGAGTTTTTACGCATAAAATGCGAAAATATTAATACTTTCACAATGTTCAAAAAAAATGTCACGCCCCAAAGCACATTAAGATTTAAAAAGGTTTTAAAAAAATTAATGACCAAAATCATTTCTATTTGCAAACATGTTCATTCATATGATTCTATAAAAAAACATAATTTATTCTAACAATTAATACATGGCATAGTGTTATATTCAATGCAGGAAAAAACATTTTATACAATTTAAATACATACAGTTATTGTTTATTAGACAAAATGAAACGAAGTGGAAGATTGTCTTTATTTCTGCACAATCTATAAAGCTCCTCCATTACTTTAATTGCTCTTTCAGCACATTGATTACTTCTGGGAATGTTGATTGCTGATGGTTCTGGGTTCCAATGACTTGTAAATGTAGCAAGAGGTTTCTTTTTGTTTAATAAAACTTCATGAAAGTCTGAATAAGTGTTTTCTTTATAGGTTTGGTCGTCAAACCAAAAGTCTGCCCACTTGTAAGAAATAAAGGTACATACAGATTCAAGTTTGTTTCTTGTTTTTGGCATAAGAATGTAGGCTAACAACGCTAAAATAGCTCTTGAACTCCACCGAGCGTTACTGATATTAGGAATTTTTTGAAATCTTACATTAGGAAATATTTTATTTTGGTCATAGTATCGGTAGGTTCTCGTCAGATGAAACAGAAACTTCATGTCATTTCGCCATCCTCCTGTGTCTTTTATTTCTTCTGTACCATTATAAAAATTTGTCTTCAGTGTTTCATAATGTTCTAACAACTCGTTAGTAAAAAAGTAATTAATGTTTGGTGAGTTCGGATTTTCTCCCAATTTTTTTTCCATTTCTAGTCTAAGTATTCTATCCAAGATATGATGTTGACATGGTACAAATTGAGGTTTTTGTAATCCTTTTTTTTGAAAAATGTCCTGAAGTTTTACAACAACACCATTTTTCTTTCCGGTATTGACATTTTTAGTATCTGTCACAATCATTTTAATTGAATTCCATAGTTTAAATTCATCTATAATATCAGCTATGGCATTAATAATAGTGATAGATTTTCCATCTATTAACTTCAGTGCGCTCAACTTTATTTTGCTTCTTTCATTTTTAAGAACGACAACCTGATACTCCCATTGGTCTATATGCTTTCCATCGAAGTGTAGACTCCAATTCTCATTCTTTAAATCTTGAATTAAAGTTTCTTTAAATTGTTTTGCTTCATTAAAAAGAGCCTTGTATATTCCAGACTGTGATGGCGCTGGAACATGTATGCCTTCTGAGGACAGTATTTTACCTATTTTAGAAGGTTTCTTAGTTGATACCTTAGCACAAACCATTAACTTTGTTGCTATTTTACAACTACTATATTTTTTATGTCTTTTCTTCAAATTATTATATTCTTCATCTGTAATTTCATTATCTATCTCAAATTGTTCATCAGTTTCTTCAAATTCGGAACTAGAGTTGTCTCTTTCTAGTTTACTACTTTCAGTAAATGAAGAAAAACTTTTAGATGCTGAAAGTTGGCTGGAAAGTTTTTGCACAATTGATGGATGAATAGTCTTCTTTCCTGCCAGCTTTGAAGTAGCATATCCAATTTCTCCTTTGCTTTGTAACTGAATTTCATAAAATCTTTTATCTTTAGATGATAACCAAATGCCATTTTGATTTGTTATATCAAAAATCTCTTTTTGCAGAAGGTCGGCATTCCCTTTTTTTCTGAGACTTTCATATTTTTCTATAACATCATTAATCTTTGGCTTCACTGACTGCTCTGTCAGACATGGGAAATTTAATTGTTCTTTCCACAAACTTATAACTTCTTCTGAAATAAGATCTATCCTTTGCTTTTTGGCTTTCACATCAGTACTAGACAAATACTTAAACCTGCTAACAATATCACTTTTTAATGGCATTTTGGAATATTCTTGAAAAGATGTTTCTAACATTCAAAACTGTCTACTTTTATGCGAATCTTGAAATTTCACAAGATTTTTTTTATAAGTCTCTATTTTTTTCAACACTTGATTGGCAGTATTTGTATGCCATTTTAATTAAAAGCAGCACAAAAAAATCTGAAACTAATTAATAAACAATTAGGCACGGCAGTGAAAAACTAGAAATTATAAAGTGGTAATGCATACGTCTGGTATGTATTTAAAATTATATATATAATATATATTAACCGTCTATATATATTTTATTATATATAATATAATAATATAATAAAATATATATAGAGGGTTATGACTTCTTTAACTTATGTTTTCTGGCCCATATGTAATATGTATAGTATATTATATTCCTATCTATATTGTATTAAAAAACATTTCAGCCGAGGGTCGTGACATTTTTTTACACTTGAAGGAAACATTTCTTCATTGTTTTATAGCAAAAACTCATCCAAAAATAATATGGGGTTGTCCAAATTGTATAAAAAGTTAAAAAAAATTAATATCACTTATATATATATATATATATATATATATATATATATATATATATATATATATATATATATATATATATATATATATATATATATATATATATATATATATGTATATATATATATATATATATATATATATACATATATATATATATATATATATATATATATATATATATTAGGGCAGGCCACAGTCTCAAATAAATTTTTTAAACAATCAATTTTACTAGTGGCTGCTTAAAATATTTATCCTTTTAATATAAAAATCATTTTTTGTTATGAAAGTGTTTGTGAAGCTCATCTCTAAGTTCTGCCGAATTTTTAGTTTGAGTAATTTGAATAAATCCATAGCACAAAAATTCCATTACATTTGTTCTGTTTTTTAATTTGTTCGGTATAATACTTACTAATAATGGCATATTTCCATTGTTTTTTATGTAAACAAATGTAAAAAAAACTCGGAAAGCATATATTAATGTAAACAACACTATATTTTTGTAAGCGTACTATATTTTTAATCGTCTGAGCTTATATTTATTTTTCATATTTATTTATTATTCTTGTAATTTAGTATTCTTTTTTTAAAAATTAATTCAACATTAATACTTCAAGATTGAAATAAAAACAATAATTTTCAACTTGAGATCTAGTAAGAATATATCAAGATAATAATATAAATAATGTATAGGAAACTTTACCATACATAAACAAATTTATTTTGCAATCCAATGAATTTCCAATGCAATTAGAATTTGCATGACATGCTTAAAATGTTGAGACTAATATAATTCTTATCATATGCTTACTTTTTAACTAACCTTATTTGTTAACCTACTCTTACCTACTTAATTAAAAACATGGAGAGGTTTAAATAGTTATTGAGAGTAAATAAAACGAATTCTATGAAGTCAGTTGTATATATATTTATTTTCTGTTTATGCAAACACATTAAAAATGTTTGAAAATGCGTTGTTAATAATAACTTATTAATATAATTTGAAATTGCAATATTTAATATATAAAAAATTCCTAAAAAATAGTATATTTAGTGATTAAAAAATATATAGGAGGATATAAAAGATAACTTCAAAAAGAGTATAATACTCCGAAAATATGTCTCATCTATGGGGTGTGCAAATTTGTAAAGATTGTTGGAAGAGGGAAATGGTCAATAGATTAGTTGTGTGAATAAAATGAATGCTTTTATTTATTTAATTTTTTGTATTCAATTTTTTTCATAAGCTCACTTTAGTTTTATGTTCTGTTCACTCAAAAGAACAGGAATACAAATGTTTCTACTAGATAATGTTTACAGTGATAATTCCACGAATTTTTGGTGTTGATGAAATTTTTTTTGTTGGCATCACAATTAAAAAAGCAATAGTTGTTACTGTTATTTAAAAGTGGTACACAATGTGATGATGATGGCATAGCATGATGATGGCAGGGGCGGCGTAAGGGACAGTTTATCCGAGTGGCAGATGTCTAATAAGCACCAAAAAAAAATGAGATAGAGACCTAAAAAAAAAGTCCTTCAATGATGGTATAGAAGTATTTTGAAAAGTATGGGCTCCAATCGGGGTTGCCTGTCCCAAGCAGTGTGAAGGTTCTTGGTGCCCTTGACGACATGATATATAAAATTGTATTTTACACAATCAACAAAAAAGTCATTATTAAACATATTGTTTGCATCATTTTCTTTATTGATGCATTCATAAAAATTAACACCTTTTACAATCAAATAACTTTTTATAAGGTGCCTTTTATCACCTCTTAAAAGTGGAGTTGTCAGAGTTGACGACACTGAGGGGCTGGGGGCATGTACCCCCCCCCTACTTTTTTTTAAAGAACTTTTTTTTTTTACGAAAATTCTAGATATAGAATTCTTTTTTTAGAATTTGACGATTGTGCCCCCTTTGAAACCCGTGTCATCAGCCCTGGTTGTAACTAGAGATATAAGTAGAAAAAATGATTTAAAATTCAGTTTCAGTTTAAAATTTGGCATTCAATATATGAAAATGCTTGCAATGAAAGTTTATAAAAACTCTTTTTGGACTCGAATGCCATCATCATATTTTAAAAGTTTTGGTTTTGAAAGTCTTAACAAATATTACACAGGGAAGGTGGTTAGCTACAGTGTGACATGACAAAAAAAACTTTTAATTTTAATTCTTATTATAGCGGAAATAGTAAAATTTTAGCAAAAAAAAAAAAATCTCGGAGATATATTTTATTCAAAAATAATAGCACTGCACATACAAGAAGAGGAAGGTGGGAGGTGGAGTTGATAAACATGTCTTAATCATGTCTTAATAACATTATCTTTTTATATTACTTTAGGTACTTGGTAGCTGTATCAACTTTGACATCTGGATTGAGTTATATTTTCAAAGATAAATCACACTACACTGTCAAATAATATTTTTTGTACATATTATAATACATCCTGAAATTTGATTGAGATTAAGTTTTATTTTTGTGATAATAAATATTGTCTAAAATGTTTTATAGATTTATAGTGAGATCAAAAATATTATAAATAGTAAATAATTTTCATATTTTTATAAAATGTGATGATAAATTTTATGTTACTTAACAAATGTGTAACTGAAGTTGTTAAAGTTGCTGTTTGTTTTTTTTACTAATGTTTTTATATTAAAATTTTTAAATATTATTTGAAAGCGTCATAGTTATTAATTGAACTGTTGTTTTCATATTTTTTATATTTTCACTTTTTTATTTTAATATTCACTTTACTTTTAATTGGTAATAAAATTAAATAAGGTTTACTATAGCATATATATATGTGTGTGTGCGTGTTTGTGTTTGAGTGTGTATTAATATATATATATATATATATATATATATATATATATATATATATATATATATATATATATATATATATATATATATATATATATATATATATATATATGTATATGTATATATATATAACGGGTGGTTACTAATAATCTGGACAAACTTTAACTGAATTTTAAATGCAAGCACAAGCTAAATCTTTTTTATTCATGTTTATATCCATTTTATAGCTTATTTAATTCTCTATAAGTTAATTTTTTTTTTTTAGATAATTAATAATAATTAAAAAAATAATGATGACCAAGCAAGAAGAGGTAAGAAAACGGATTTACGAGTTCTATTTGAATAATAAATTGCAAGGTAAAAAGTTCACAGTAGCTCACTTCAATGCTGAAAAAATCCCAAGAAGCACTATCTATGATATAATCAAACGTGTTGAGAATGATTCTGGGCACAAAAGAGTGCAAGGAAGTGGTCGTGTGGCCAAAATCATGACCCCTAAGAGGATCAAGCGCCTGAAAGCCATATTTGATCACAGTGACCGAGTTTCGATGAGGCAAGCTGGTCGAAAATTTGGATGCAGTCATTCACATATCATTAAAACTCTTGCCAAGTACACTGACATCAAAAGTTATACAAAACAGGGTATACCTCATCGATAAGAGAACCAGAATGAGCGAATCAAAACTGGCATTGATCGTCTTTATCGCGTTTTTAAAGGAAAATCGGTCATCCTTGACGATGAGTCTTACTTCATGCTGTCACACTCAACAATTAATGGAAACAGCACCTACTACTCTAGCAACAGAGACAAGACTCCACCAAGTGTTAAATATCGCAAAAAGCGCAAGTTCGAACCCAAGGTGCTTGTCTGGCTGGCCGCTTCTGACAAAGGTGTTTCAAAACCATTTTTTATACCCAGCGGCCTTGCTGTCAATAAAGCCATCTATGAAATGAATTGTTTTAGGAAAAGATTAGTGCCGTTCATCAACGCTTATCATGCCGATGGTAATTACATATTTTGGCCGGACTTGGCTTCATCGCATTATGCCAAAACCGTGACCAGCTGCTACGAGACTCATAACATCAATTTTATCAAAAAAGTTGACAATCCGCCAGCCGTACCGGAGTGTCGCCCAATCGAAGACTTTTGGGCTATTTTGAAAGGCAAAGTGTATGAGAGTTACTGGCAAGCAAAAGACGTGAAACAACTACGAACCAGAATAAAGCTTTGCCTGAAAAAAATTGACCTTAACCTTGTATTTTCACTTTTTGGGTCAACTCGTGTTAGAGTTGGCCGAATCCGAAAAAACAGACTGGTTGAAGACAAACTTAATTAAAATAAATAAATAACTAAAAACTCTTTTTAATGATAGTTTTATTTAATCTCTACCATAAAAACTTTGGGAGTAATTGCACTTTAAAGTTTGTCTGGATTTTTAGTAACCACCCGTTATATATATATATATATATATATATATATATATATATATATATATATATATATATATATATGTATATATATATATATATATATATATATATATATATATATATATATGTATATATATATATTAATGCTTATTAGCACTTATTTATAATATATAAATATTTGTAATATATATCTGTTCCAAAAATTTATAAATCTAAGTTAATATAATTCTATCTAAAATTGAAAGCTTTTAATTAATAGATTAGATTAATATGCCACCTGTTATCCAAAATGCACCTGTGAGTCGAAAAGAGTATGTAATTTTTTTTTAGGTTTTATATGATATATATAAATTTTGTTTTATTTCTTTATTATTGTAAAGACTCACTTTAATCTTTTTTTATTGTTTTTTTTTAGCCCAGATAAAGGGTAAGTTTCTTTTAACTCAGTTAATTTTAGTTTTTTACTGTTTTATCTACATGTATGCTGTTTGCAAACAAAAAAATTTATTTATTTCTAGAAAAGAAGGTTTTGTATGCAATGTCAAGTACACAAATGTTTTGCCAGATATTCCTTTTGATGGGAAATTCATCTCTTACCCTTTTGAAGCAAATAGGTAATAACTTATATGAATAATAAATTTCATAAATATAACCTTTAACAAGAAAAGTTTTAAGCAAAGTCTAACCTAACCATTGTGTATGTGTATATATACAACCCTTGAAATTATGTACAACATTTGTCATTGCTTACCTTTTAGTGTCTGATGAAATTCTAATTTTTTCACTTTTTTGCCAACATTAGAATTTTAAACTTAAATCTTATTTTTATTTACTATTTCAAATAACAAATAACAAATGCTTTATTTAAATTTTATATAAATCAATAATTTAAATAATTTATTCGGTCAATTTTATTCTAAATGTTTGCCCATGTGTTTTACCATGTTTTTAAATAATGCACCGACCTGATGCCAACCTAAAATAGTTTTAGTTTGAAAATATTTTGCAGATCTCATTTTTTTGGTATTCCGATATATATATATATATATATATATATATATATATATATATATATATATATATATATATATATATATATGTATATATATATATATATATATATATATATATAGAGAGAGAGAGAGAGAGAGACATAGACAGAGGTCTGCAATTATTTGATTAACTTAAACACTTGAAGGTTGGTAGTCAGGTTGGTATTGCCAAATGTCGACCCAAAATCCGAGGGTTGCATATATGCATATATATACTAATTTTTTAATATATTCTACAAAATAAAAGTTCTAAAATTTTTAAAAGAACAGAGCAATAAACTATTAGAAAATCACTTATGATTTTAATATAAGTTTGTGTGTTTGTGTGTGCGTGCACAGATATACTATAGTGTCTATAGTTATATGTTTTCTAACTTTTTGTTAACCTAATTTCATAAGGTTTTTTAGAAAAAAAAGGGAAAAAAAACACTAAGAATAATTAAAAAAACTTATTGCTGCTCCAACCCAAACCCTCAGTAAATGTAGCAGCAGCTCTTTTTATTTCTAAACCACCCTATTTACTGAAACCCTCACAGCTCTCTTTTTATTTCTAAATCAACCTATATACTAAAACCCTCACAGCTCTCTTTATCAGTATGACTTCAGATTGGCAATCTAAATGTGCTTTTATATTTGTGTGTATGTGAGTGTGAGTGTGTCTATATATATATATATATATATATATATATATATATATATATATATATATATATATATATATATATATATATATATATATATATATATATATATATATATATATATATATATATATATATATATATATATATATATATATATATATATATATATATATATATATATATATATATATATATATATATATATATATATATATATATATATATATATATATATATATTATTGAGATTCTTCAGTTTGCACTCTAAATAGAAAAAACTTATGTAATAAAATTAAAAAATAAAGTTTAGAACCAATAGAAATAAAAACAATTGTTTTTATGATTTTAGTGCAAATGATTTTTAGCGAGGAAATTCTGCAGGGTTTTCTTTGGATCTTAGGTTTATTGAATACAAGCCAACATCATTGGAGAGAAACTACAAAAATGAACTGCTTACAGAGCCAGACCTTGGTGTTTCTATTGACTTGATCAATCCAGAAACATACGATATTGATATGAATGGTTAGTAAACTTTAAAGCAAAAATTATTTTTCAAAAGAAGAGTTTCTTTGTTATAATTAATTTCTTTTAGTTGAGTTAGATCCAGAAGATGAAAAGTTATTAGAAGAAGACCATATTCCACAAGCAGATCAAAAACGGTTAGTTAATATTGTTGTATTAAATACTCATCATCTTTTTAATGTTTTGTTTTATTATCAAATAGATATGTTTTACTATTTAATATGAATTAGATATAAAGCTTTTATAAATATGAAGCTTTTATAAATATGGTTGTTAAATAATGGTTGAGTTAGATGCTGAGAATCACATTTATTATTTTTGTTAACATGATTTAAGATGTCTTTTAAAAGTTTCGCTTTGTCATATAATTTTTAAAATAAAAGATTTTCATGCTTCTACATTCAGCAAAATTTTTTAATGTAAATGGTATTAATTTATGCGCCCAAAAAAGTGTTTTATGTTTTTTGTTCTTATTTAATTTGTTCAAACTGTAACATAAATAGGGGAAAATTATTAGTTTTTAAGTTTTTTTTCTTATTTTGAAAACTATTTATAATATATTATTTGCTTATTTCATAACTAAGTAGAAAATTAAAATATAAAGTTTTTAATAGTAAATTAAAGGCAGGGATTATCTTTTTCCAAGTATTTTCAGAATTCTGGATTTTTTTCTCAACTTTTAGTTCAGATATTCAAAATGTTTTCCATACAAACAAGTTAGGCATATATTTTTATAATATATTTGTTATATAACCTTTTTTCAGTTATTATTTATACAAAAATTAATAAAAATTAAAAAAAAAGAACCCAAAACAACTCAGCTATAAACTAAATTAGGAGGAAATTACACTCCAGATTTTTTCTGGCTATTTTACCCAAACAATTTTCCAGATTGTTAAAATATGACCTGATGTGAACTATGGTTAAAGGTTACAGTTTGTGAAATTTAAATAAGAATAAAAACTTCTTTTCTTAATATTCAATAACTTTGCTTTGATATAATTGTTTTAAAATTAGTTTTTTTTATTTTAATTGATTGAATATTTAGATATTAAAATCTCTTTAATTACTTCTTTAATTAAATTTTCAAAAAGCATTAAATCATGTGATTCACTTTTTACTTGTACTTTAAATAGGAGGTATTTTTAAACCTTGACAAACATTTTTAGACATTTCTGTCAAAGAATATTTGTTGAAATCATCATAAACATTAGATTATCGTCATGGTTATTGTCATGGTTAAACATTAGACTATCGTCTCTTTCATATAGACCACATCATCATTATCTCTTTCAAATGCAACTGCTAAATCTAAAAATGTTTATTTCGTATCTTTTACTAAAAAAATCTTGATAACAAACTTTTTATTTTTTATTGCAAGAAATCAATACAAAAAAATATTGAATAATGTGATAATCTAAAATTTTTTATTTCGGAAGTCTTTAATATCTTTTATATTGCTATTAACAAAGGCATGTCTACATTCCACTTCTTACATATGGACTTAGTATTGAATTAGTCTTCTAAAAAAGTCATTTGTATAGTGTACATATTAGTCTTCTAAATAAATCACACATGGACCTGATATTGAATTTAGTGACCAGTATATTTCATATAAATTGATTAATTCTTTGTTAGGCACCCAAATTACTCTTTTATAACTTGTGGTCCCTGTCAATCTTATAAAAGTGTAGAAAACTTAAGGCAAGGGCTTTTTGCCTTGACATATAAGATGTTCTCAATAAAGTCTGGCAGGCTAGTATTCTAAATAAGTCTTTATATAGTTTGAGATCTGAGAAAGTTTTAAAACATTAAATTATTTCTTTCTAATCAGAATAGTAAAATCATTTTTGATACACAACACTTTTATTTGTTTTCAGTAACCTCTAGTGTTACTGAAAAAAAATAAAATTACTGATTCCATCCTTGATTCTATGTTTATTATCAATATTAATAATTTCCCTGACATCTCACATCTACATACTTCACATCTCACATTTACATACTTCATCATACATACATCATCTCACATCTACATACTTTACATCTCACATCTACATACTTCAGTCTTGACAAAAAATCATCACTTTTCATTTATTTAGAACAGGCAGTTAATCTTCAATTGATCTATATATTTTCTCTATTTGATGTCAGATTATCTTCCACCACTGACCTCTCATAGAAATCATATATGGATTAATATAGATAACTCCTTTTTATTGTGCTTTCCATATTATTACTTCTGGATTCATTCCTTATAAATCTTTTATGTGGTCTTGTATGACCTTTGTTGTCATATTTGGTTTGGTTTTTTTTGTGATGCTCTCCCAAGGTACAAAAATGTGTTATGAATGTTTGTTTACGATGCTCTCTCTTTAAAACAAATTAAAAAATATGTTCCATCGATGTAAGGTTGTATCTTTTTCTCTTTTTTACTAATAATTTTATGGTCATTTCTCACATAATTCTTTGGAATTTTTTTCACATTTTTATGTTTTCTGCCTTACAATGTACAATTTTTTAAGTTTAAAAATGTCAAATGTTTTCTTGCTTTTTAACTATTTAAATTTCCAATTTAAATGATAGTTGCTCACAGCTTTTTTGAAGGGGTGAAAGAAAGTGTGTTTAAAAATAAAAAATATATCAAAAGTAGTCAGTTATTTTTCATTTTACTGTTTATACTTTCCTTCACACCTCAAAATCATTTTAAACCTTTGCATTAGTTGGCTTTAGATTTAAATACAAAAAATACTGTAGGCTATGAAATTTTTGATGATGATGATGATGATGATGATGATGATGATGATGATGATGATGATGATTATGATGATGATGGTGATGATGATGATGATGATGATGATGATGATGATGATGATGATGATGATGATGATGATGATGATGATGATGATGATGATGATGATGATGATGATGATGATGATGATGATGATGATGAAGTTAAAAATATTTATCTTATGATTAGACACCAGCAGCACACCAAGACAGTATCTTGGCTTCGTAAAACTGAGTATATATCAACTGAGTATAATCGATTTCAAACAAGCAGTGAAATGGCAGAAACAAAGTAAGATTTTCTGTTAAATGTTTACATTATCTTTTTAAAAAGTATTTAAAGTTAAATGCAGTTTTGTTAAAATTTTTCAAGCTTAATGTTTCAGAAAAAGATAAAAAAAAAATAAACTGAAAGTTTTTGAATTAGATTTTTTACATATGTAAATATTTCTTGCCATAACCTTCAGATTAATTTAATGATCATTTGATTACACTGTTCAATAAAAAAAAATTTCTGGTGCCAAACAAAAAATTTGTTTTTTGTATAGCAATTCTCATTTTGATTTCAAATATACGACTCATTTTTCACCATCACATCGATTTGTAAAGATATTTGGGTTCAAATCTTTAGCATTTGGGGTAAAATCCCTAATATTTAAAGAAAATATTAAGGATTTTACCACTAATGCTAAAGATTTGAACCCAAATATCTTTACAACTTGACATGATAGGGAAAAATGAGATGCATATTTGAAATCAAAATTAGAAATGCTATATGAAAAACAAATTGTTTGCTCAACACTAGAAAAAAATTTTTGTTGTTGACCTGTGTTATTTAAGAATGCTTTTTGTAAATTTTGTTATTAGAGGTCGTCCATAAAGTACTTAAGCTCATAGGGGGGAGGGGGAGGTCTTCAAAAAGTGTAGGGGGGGGGGTTCAATTTAAAAAGTATGTACAATGATTTTTTAATTCATCACAATTAACCAGCTAATCAATAGAAAATTTAAAATTTTGACTAAAGATCCTAGTTTGTCAACATAAAAAGATGTTTGGTATAGGTAGTAGAGGGTATAGTTTTTCTTATATGCTCACACATGCATGGGGGCCTGCAGGTTTTTCCAGATAAAACACTTTCACACATTGTGCAAACTCCAAACTTAAGTATGTTTATACCTATGCCAAATGAGGAGGCCTTGCAAAATATTAAGAAGGCGGAGGCCTGGGAGCAAAAAAAGCCCTATAACGCTTTCCCCCCCCCCCTCCTCCTCCTCTAAAAAAAAAAAAAAAGAGGAGGGGTGTAAATTTTGTTGATAAATTTAAATTTAGTTTTAGATAATAAAGTTGAAATTTTACTACATTGGTACCCTCACGCTTGGGCAGGGGGGCAACCGTTTTTGGGAATTTTTTTGTTCCCAGGCCTCTGCCATCACACTTTTTTGCAAGGCTTCTTCATTTGGTATAGTTATACTTAAGTTTTAGAGCTTGCACATTGTTCACACCTTTGGCATAGGCATACTTATGTTTGAAGCTTGTGCAAGCTCCAAACTTAAGTATACCTATGCCAAATGTGTGAAAGTGTCCTACATAGAACATCAAAAAATCCTGCGAAGGCCCATGCACACATGCCACCCCTTATATACTGGCCCTGACTAAGGTTTATTTCAGGCAATCTATTTTTTGAGTGGACAAAAAACAGGTTTTAGCAGTGCTGTGGCTAATGGTTTGGAGACCCCCCAATAAACATGTCATTTGGGTTTAAAAATCTCCCAAATTTTACTGCTAGGTTTCGCTAAAATAAAAAGCTAAATTAACAGAAGAACACAAAATTTTCTGACCCTTTTCATCCCCTCCCTAAATTAAAGGGTACCGGCAGCCTATCCTTTGGCACTGAGTTTTAGGCTTTGTTTTCAATATTATCGATCTCGCGTAGGACTTGTTTTTAATGGATTTACTAAATAAGGATGCCTAAAAAAAGAGGTCTGCCTTAAGTATAGTTTATTTTTATTTGATTTGTCATTAAAACAAAAAAAGTACTGTTTGACTCAACCAGGGATCGAACATAGATCTCTGTCGCCTCAGACTGCAGCACTAACTGCTCGACCAAGCGAACACATTGATAATGTTTAATTTAACTATATTAAAATTAATATTTGCATATATATTTGAAATTTGGTTTTTTAAATTTGTATCCTTTGCAGCCTACAAAGAGCTTTTGGGTCATATAAAGTATCTAAGGTACCTCCTCCACCTTTTTTTTTTTCTATAATTTTTTTTTATTAATTTTTTTTTTTTTTTTTTTTTTTGGGGGGAGGGGTTCAAAAACGTACATACTTTTCAAAAGGGGAGGAAGGACCTAGAAGTATGCATGGCAACTGGATGGAGGGAGGAGGTCAAATTTCACAATATTTGGCGTACATATTTTATGAACGACCCCTTAATAACATTCTTTTTTTAAAACAAACAAAATTCTGTTAAGTAATGTTTTGTATTTCATATGTATGTTATTAAGGGAATTCTATATTTTGTTTCAATAGTTAAAAATATTAATTATTGGATGTCATGGAAATTTTTTTATTGAGTTACATGGTTTGCTTTATTTACTTCTTAAATCTTTATAGTTGAAATTTTTTTAACAATATTAGCGCAAAAGCATGAACTAATATTGTTAAAAAAATGAGCCCTTAGTTTTTGTAAATTAGACTTGAAGCCAAGTACTTAAAACTGAAACTGATTTTCATCCAGGTTCCTGGCATAAAATTAATCCTTAAAAGTAAGACTTAAAAAAAATGTTGTTTCAGGGTGGCCAGCGGTCCTTGAAATCCTTGAAATCCTGGAAAAGTCCTGGAATTTTATAGATCCTGGAAAAGTTCTGGAAAAACACCCCTTTTTACAAAAAATCCTGGAAATCCTGGAACTTTTTTTTATAGAGTTCAATATTCCATTTTTTTGTTTTCATCTTTTACAAAACTTTTCGTTCATTTATGTATTTTCTGGTATGATGAAAATATTTTTATTAATTTTACTATCTGTATTATTAATTCTACTAAATATTTAGAAAATAGAATATACAAATAATATATATAACAATTAATATATAATATAACTAACATAACGCCCAAGTCAAAGAACTGTCGTTTCCAAACAGAATGGCTTTACAATAAAAAGTATTCTTGGGTAAAATTATGTTTTTCAAAGAAAGCAAGATGTAATTGGTGTCAAAAAATATTAATATTTCTAACATGGGAGTATCTGCATTAAATTCTAGTGCAATTGGTAAAAAACATAAAGAGCATGCAAGAACACATAATGCAGCTGATATGTTCTTTACTGGTAGTTTTTTAGTTATTTGATTTGAATTTTTACTTTTTTTTTGAAAATGTTTTTGAATTTTGGAATGCTTGGAGCAAATTGATTAGCTGTGCACTTTACCGGATATTAATTTTTTTTTTACGCATTTTGTTCCTAGATTTTACTACAGAAATATCTGGCAATAACTGCTTTTGTTAACTTACAAGAACATTTTCCTAATTCAAAAAATGTTTTAAATGACAAACTGGCACAACCTACTATAGAGAATCTTCAATCTCCAGCTCTGGTTACTAAGGCTGAAATAATAAGGAACTTGAATGTTGTAATGTCACATTTTTCGTTAAGATTGTGCTTAAATTTAAATGAAATATTTAAATCTATGTTCTCTGATAGTACAATAGCATCAAAGTTTGCATTAAGCAAAACAAAATGTGGCTACCTCATAAATTTTGGTTTAGCACCATACTATCGAGAGCAACTTATATCTGCAATCAGAGCATCACTCATCTTTGTTTTGTCATATGATGAGAGTATGAATGTAATCTTTAAAAATGAACAAATGGACTGTGGAGTTAGATACTGGGGTTCAAATTCTGGTGTTGTAAAAGCTAGATATATTGATTCTTAGTTCCTTAGACGTCCTAATTCACAGAATTTATTTGACAAACTCATTGAAGCAACAAAGATCTTGGAAAACTAGCTTAAGTATCAATGGATGGTCCTAATGTTAATCGGGAGGTTCTAAAAATGTTAGATAAACATAGACAGGAAAAATGATATTATGGTATAGTTAATATGGGCAGTTGCAGTTTGCACATTGATCATGGTGCTCTACAGACAGCAATAAATTCCCAAAAGTGGGAGTTAAAAAAAAAATTTTGTGCAATGTATAATCTTTTCAAAGAGTCACCAGCTAAAATAGATGAATATATTAGAGTTTGGGAAACTGATCTGCTTGCTTTGCCATAAGTATGCATATTTAAGCAGGAAAAAAAATGATAATAAATTATCTTATCTTTTATATTTATATATAAGTTAAGGGCATTTCAGCATTTTAATTTTTGGATTTTATTGTTTCACAGTTTCTACACAACTTGTTGGGTAGAAGATGAAGGTGTGGCTTCTTGAGGCATTATTTTATGGCCAAACATGGTTAAAATTATAAAATATTGGGAATCACTATGCAAAAGCAGACGTCCTGAAAATAAGATCTATGAAGTTCTGGTAGATCATCATCTTCACAATTTTGTACCTTTGCGAATGCAGTTTTTTAAAGAACTTGCTAAAAAATTGAAAGGATTTTTAGTTCTATTTTTTTTTTTTTTTTTTTTTTTTAACATCTTCACTTCCAACAAGGCTGCAAGCAACCACTATAAGAGTTGGAAGTTACTGGAAGAGAAAAGACTAAATCTGTAGAGCAAGATAACGATTGACTGATGACTTAAAAGATTGCAAATTATATGAATCAGGAAAGCAAGATGAAGGAAGCGAATTCCAAAGAACTGATGTTCGAGGAAAAAAACTAGAAGAATAAGAGTTTTTGAAGCACTTAGGAACAGTCACAGAAAAAGGATGAGACTTAATTGAATGGCGAGTAACACGAGAATGAATTTTAGTAGATGGCACAAGGGACGCTAGCTCTTTAGAGCAGTGCCCATTATAGTATTTGTAGAAAAGAGAAAGAGAAGCAACATTACGACGATGTGACAAAGGTTGGAGATTGGCTGCCAGAGCAGGTCCAACTATGTTTACAATTCGTTTTTGCACCTTGTCTAAAAGAGAAAGAGCATCATTAGAAGATCCGCCCCAGATGTGGCAACAGTATTCCATACAGGGACGGATTTGAGATTTATAGAGATAGAGAATAGAATCTGGAGTAAGAAAGTGTCGAGCTCGATAAAGAGATGCAACCTTAGCAGATGCTAATTTTGCAATGGATTTGATATACGGTTTAAAAGAAAGATCAGAAGTAAGAGTTAATCCTAGAAGATGAATGGTAGATGACTCATCTAGTACATTACCATTCATAAATATAGGAAGATCTAAATTATTACGATAACGATTGGCCGAATAAAATTGAGTTTTATCTGAATTAAAGTTCACCAGCCACTGTGAGCCCCATGCTGTAGCAGAAGTGAGATCCTTTTCAAGCTCAGATACCCCCTCCAAGCAATCAGAGAGTGTAGGCTTCTTATCATGACAAGAGTAAATGGTAGTGTCGTCAGCGAATAATGCCACCTTAGATGTGAGAATATCTGGAAGATCGTTAATGTAAATTAAAAAGAGTATAGGGCCAAGGATTGAACCTTGAGGAACCCCTGAAGTTACAGGATGTGAAGAAGAGTGTTGTCCATCGAGGACAACTTTTATACTACGATTGGAAAGAAAGGACTCAATAATCTTAAAGACGTTACCAGCTACACCATAAGAAGAAAGCTTATGGAGAAGACCAGCATGCCAAACTTTATCAAAAGCTTTAGAAATGTCAAGTGCGATAGCCTTAACCTCTCCACCTCTATCTAATGCACGGTAAAACCTATCGGTTATTACTGTTAGCACATCAGCTGTAGAACGAGAAGACCGAAATCCATATTGATGGTCAGAAAGTAAGTTATTTGATTCAAGATGAGAGATTAAGTGTTTGTTAATTAAAGATTCAAAAACCTTGCTTATGACAGGAAGAAGACTAATGGGACGGTAGTTAGATGAATCAGATCGCTCTCCGGAATTTTTGAAAATAGGGATAACAGATGCTGCTTTCCAGCATGATGGAAAACAAGACTCTGATAAGCACTTGTTAAATAGTTTAGAAAGTATGGATGAAAGCTCCGGAGAACACCTCTGCAAAACTACAACAGGAATGTTGTCAGGACCACAAGCTGTTGAAGAGTCTAAGCAGGAAATTACTTTAGATACAGAAGCTGAAGTGATGCGAATGTCAAGCAAGGGATCAACCTGTTTGACGGCTATGTCAGGTAAAACGCAACTAGTGGAATCAAGAGATGATATTGATGAAAAGTTCTTAGCAAACAATTCAGCTTTGTCTTTAGGTGAGGTGACAAAGTCTGAACCATACAAGAGAGAAGGAATAACAGATTTGCCCTTATTATTGATACTGTTAAAGATTCTCCAGAAGTCTCGAGAGCCTAATTTTTGTGAGGAGATGCGAGATTTAATGACCTGGGAATAGCGAGTTTTGGCGTCAGACAAAACCTTTTTACAATGGTTTCTGGCGATAGTGAACAGATGTCTGTTTTCTGGAGAATTGTTTTGCTGATAGATATGGAAGTAACGGTTTCGATTAGAAATTGCTGCAGCGCAATGTGAGGAAAACCAAGGAGAAGAGTGAGGCTTAACCTGGAATCGTCGAGAGGGAATAAAAGATTCCATGCCAGCCTGAATCCACGAAGTTATGTAAGAAGCACATTTGTCAGCAGGAAGACGAAAGATTTCTACCCAAGGGCCATCACGAAGAAAATCACGGAAAGAGTCCCAGTCAGCTTTAAGGTAGTTGTATGTGGTACGATGATAGGGGGATTCAGATGAAGTAAAAGAATTTGATAATAGTTTTAGAGAGATCAAACCGTGATCAGAAGTACCTAAGGGTGAATGTGGAGAAATTGAGCACTGACTAGGATCCAAAACAAGACATAAGTCGAGTAGAGAAGGTAAATGATTAGGGTTGTCTGGAAAACGAGTTGGAAAGTTGACTATTTGAGTTAGAGATTGAGAAAGGCAAAAGTTGAGGGCCTTAACGCCAGCAGAGTCACTGACACTAGAGCCAAGCCAATCGGTGTGATGGGCATTAAAGTCACCAACAACGACGATATTGGCCGATGGATAAAGAGAGAGGGCTTGGTCAATTTGATCAGAAATAACATCAAGAATAGTGCAATCTTGGGATGAAGGAGAGCGATATAGAACAAAGAGAAAGGCGATAGAGTGAAGTTGTGCTAAACGAAAGCACATAAATGAATAGTCTGTAGATTCAAACCTAGTTTCACGACAAATGGGTGAGTTCTTACGAATGTAGATGCCCAGGCCAAGCATGTGATTATTGGAGTCTTTACGAATTAAAGGAAGATAACCATCAACACTAAGATCACAAGATGGGACAGCCGAACTTAAATTAGTCTCACAAAGAGCAAGTAGGTCTGGTGAACTTTGCAAGAGATAAGACTCAACAGAAGAAAAGTTACTTCGAAGACCACGAATATTAGTAAATGATAGGTTTAGAGAACTTGGTGATGACAATGGTTTTTTGTGTTTTTTAGTTTTAGGTACTTTAGTCATTTTAAATTTATAAAGAACTTGACTCAAGTATAGATAGTACTCAGTACACTATTTAACAACTAAGCAATAGCCTCATTACTCTTAATAAACCCTAAGCCGTAACAAAGGGCTCCAAATGTGGCCTCTGCAATGCACACCAAAAGTACAAACAGGGACACCATCCATGCGCAACATGGCACTGTTAGTACTCTGATATTTTTCGGCTGTTGATGGAATCGGCCTCTCTGAGAGCTACCACAGAGTTCGGGAAACCTGACTACCAGCCGGCCTCAGAACCATAAAACTGAGTTTTAGAGCTGTACCCTCATTAGGAGATAATAGAATGAGTTGCCCAGTCATAAAAATAGAGACACAAGCAATACCCACGCATTGAGTCAAGAAGATCCAGCGTTCAACATCCTAAACTGGAAACAATGTATTAAGAATACATCTGCGCCAGCCTAATAGATGAGGAAGGGGTGCGAGGCTGGTCAACAGATAGAATCTGTTTACCCCTTAAGTCTTTGCCTAGGAGGCCTTCTACAAGACAGCAGCTGGATGCATGTAACATCTGCCCAAGATGAGTATTTTTATCGAGACACCATCTCTAGCCTTTACTCAACCAAGAGCCCCAAGGCAGGGGGTGTTTTAATTCGGAGTTAACTTCTCCTAGCCTTTGCCTAAAAAAGCGTATCCTACAAGGCAGCAGGACATGGACATGGAGTTCTATTTCAAACAGTCAGGCCTGCGGTTGCATTTTTATCTAACAGTTTAGAAAGCATGTTGCGAAGTTAGATGAAAATGATTCCCAAACCAAACATTTTAAATGAAGCTGCAATTGCATACAGTTTTATAAAGATTGAAGTAGGTAAATCAAACAAACAACTAGATCTAATATATATATATATATATATATATATATATATATATATATATATATATATATATATATATATATATATATATATATATATATATATATATATATATATATACACATGTATATGTTTGTATGAGTTTGTACAATTTTATTTGTACAAACTTTACATAAATATATGTATGTATATATGATTAATATTTAACACAAACAATTATATGTATGTATATATGATTTATATGCGTATTCAAATATAAATATTTAGTTGTTTTGTTTTAAGGCAATATATTTTGCATTTACTGGCCCATTTTATTATCAAGAAAAAATCAATATATCCTTGAATAACTCGAAATTTCCTTTAAAAATTCTGGAAATATCCTGGAGTTTTAAATTTACTTTTAACTGGCCACCCTGTGTTTAAATTGTAAGTTGTAAACATTTCCAATGTAAAATATAATTCTATCTGTAAAAAAATTTCTGTGCTGTTTTTATTTAATGTCTATTCTAGAACACATTAAAGATGAAATAAAAGGAACTTCCTGAAATCCTATTTTATTAGTTATTTCAAGACGTTTTCAGTCATGAGTTTATACAGATTGCTTGAATATTTGCTGTGTGTTTTAGATCCGCTATAATTATTTTATTTGTAAGTTGTTTAGTTTAAGTGTTAACAGAACAGGTAACTCTCTAGGATAAGTAAAATAAGGAAATTTCAAAAGGGGTTTCTCTGATAATAATTTCATACTATTGTACATAGTTTTCTTCAGATGGATCAAAACCAATTACCGAGTCACAAGCATGTTTTAATGCAGATTTAATAGTTTTAAGACCCTTTATATTTTTTATTTTCAATTTAAAGAAAAATTTTAAATTATTGTGAAATTTATTATTTTTGTAGAGTTGGATATTCATCTAAGAAACAATCTAAACTTGATATTGATCTTTATAAGGTAAATTGTGCAATTTAATATAAGTATCAAATATGTGTGAATATATATATATATATATATATATATATATATATATATATATATATATATATATATATATATATATATATATATATATATATATATATATATATATATATATATATATATATATATATATATATATATATATATATATATATATATATATATATATATATGTTAATGCAATGTTTTAATGTTATAGGATAGAGAATCACAAATTGAAGCAATTGAAGCAAGTTTTGAAGCTGCAAAAAAACCAGTAAAAAAGTTTTCTACGCTTTTTCAATGCAAAGATTTTTTTTTTTTTTTTTTTAAATTAAATTTTTTATATTTATTTTCAGATTACATGTCATGACACAAATGCTAGGATAAAACCTGTTGAAATTTTACCTGTTTTTCCAGATTTTCAAGTTTGTGTTTATTGTATTAATCTTTTTTTTTTTATTCAAGTTTTTTTAATATTTTAATATTTTTATGATTTTATATTTTTTCTGAATAGTTTTGGCATATGCCATGTGCACATGTTATTTTTGACACTGAGCCAACACCCCGTGGAAAAACAGTTCCTGCAACTGTTGAACAAATGTCACTAGGAATGATTAGGTAAATACTATAATTAAAATGTATTATAAATGTTATTTATAAATATTAGCTAAGAATGAGGATTTGTTATGTTATAATTTAATATTGAATTAACGGAAACATTTTAATTTTTTAAAATGTTTTAAAGAGGAATGGAAGATGAAAGTGGCGATCAATTTGTGGCTTATTTTCTTCCTTCTGATTTGACACTAAAGAAGAAAAAACAGGAATTAGACAATAATGAGCAACCTAACCCAGATGAAGAGTAAGTTTCAAAAAAAGAAAACTATCACTTTAGATTATGGGGCTAAGGGGTTAAAGGGCTGATGTTGTTTTTTGTTTTTATTTTTTGGCGTAAATAAATAAAATAATTACTTTAAAAAAAAAAAGTTTTTTCCAGGCTTGTTGTGTACATGTAAATGTTTTACTTTTTATATATAACATTTTTCTCTTAGGTATGAATATAAACTAGCTCGTGAATATAATTGGAATGTCAAAAATAAAGCTATTAAAGGATTTGAGGTAATTGAATTTTTATTTGTCAAGTTTTAAAATACTGGGGTTAAAATATGAATCAAATACAATTTATAAATACATTTCTTTTTGGTGATGACACAACTTTATACTGCTGTCTTAGCAAAAAGTCTTCTCTTTTTTAGAACAGGCAGCTGATCTTGGATCTGATCTAACTTCTTTGGGGCTTGCAGTGGTTTCTAAATTTTAACTCTAACTAAACTCAGTTATTTACTGCAAATAACTATCACAGTACTGTCAAAATTCCCATATTAATGAATGGCAACCTTCTTATTAAGTCCTCTTCTTTATGTCTTCTTAAATTAACATTTACTACTGACTTTTCATGGAAACCATACATACAATCGAATGCTAAATTTGCATCTGCTAAGGTTGCTTCTCTTTATTGTGATCATCATTTCCTCTCTCCTGATTCCAATCTCCACCTCTACTAATCTCTTATTTGCCCCTGTATGGAAAACTTTTGTCATATTTGGGCTGGCTCTTCCTATGATGCTCTTTTTCTTTAAGACAAGGTCCAAAAATGCATTGTAAACGTAGTTGGACCTGGTCTATCTGCTAAGCTTAAGCCTCTTTCCCGTCATCATAAAGTTGGATCTCTTTCTCTTCTACAAATACTATCATGGTCACTGCTCAAAGGAGCTTTCATCTCTAGTTCCATCAACTAAAACTCATTCTCGCTTGACTCTTCATTCATCAAAGTCTCATTCTTTTTACTGTATCTGTCCCTGCATGCTCTAAAAGTTTGTCTATTTTTTTTTTCCACACACTTCAACCCTTTGAAGCTCTCTCTCATCTTCATGTTTTCCTGACTCATACAATCTACATCTTTTCAAGTCTTCTGTTAACTGTTTCCTTGCTCTATAACTATAATCTTTTTTTCTAGTAACTCCCAACTTAATAGTGTTTGCTTGCAGCATTGTTGGGAGTGAATCAGAATTAAAAAAAATCATGATAGTAAACAAGGTTTCTGAAAAACAGTGGTTTTTGAAAAACATCTGTTTTACTGTTTTAGAATTTTTAAAATCAGCTGTTAACAACTGTTTTACTGTTTTTTTAAATTTGGAAAATTTTTTATTTATAAATGAGTACTCATAGGTGCTAAATACACAAGAGGAGACATTTATTAATTTTAAGAAAGTTTTCCAACCAACTAAATCTGCCTTTAATTCTTGAGTTATTATTTAGTTTTTAAAAGCTCTAGCGTTATTGGTATTATGTTCTAGAGATTTTTTTACAGCAAGACAAAGTTTAATTTTTTTTTTTAAGTAGAGCCTTGACTTTTGATTGTAAACTTAATTTCAAATACTTAACTGTTTGATGTATTTTGATGTATTGCATGAGTTTTTAAGTAATTCATTGCAGTCATTATCATCTTCACACTCATCATTTATAACTTCATAATTAGTTCCTTCATCAAAAAAACTATATTCATTTTTATCATTATCTATTAAGGTGTTGCCTAAATCTTTAACCTTTTAGTCTCAAAATTCAAATTAATCTTGCTTTAAACATTCTATCTTAAATATTAACAAAATATAATTTTCCTCTTAAAGTAGTAACCTTATCAATAATCATGCTAAAGTTCCTATTATTGTCTATCTTTAGTTTTATGGTGTCAGTCATTTTTTTTTGCTTTTTATAAAAATCTTTGTACAGAAGTTTCATTGCATCGCCTTCGTTAGAGGGGAGTTTAAATACTTCAAATTTACCCACCATTAAAAAAACAGTTCATAACTGGTAACTATGCAATTATTGTTAATGTAAATAAGAAACTTGTTTCTAGAAGCTCTATTTATAAATAAATAAATTTTCAAGAAAATTTTAGTACTAGATCAGTAAAATAGAACAATAAAATAAGAAACTCCCTACTATGTGTGCTAACCTAGTACTAACCTTTGTGCTCAGTTTTTTTTTTTAATAAAAAAAGTATTAAATACTAAACTAAATTTATTTATTAAAGTTACTTATCATCCAAAAACTATATGTTAAATTGTTTTATATACAAAATTTAAAATAAAAGTCAAATCAAGTTACAATTGTTTTAATAAATGTTGTTAAAGAAAATTTTATATTAGCAATTTTAATATTTTTTAATTTGAAACCAAGGACAATATAAACTATATGACATATAAAAGTAAACCTTTTTTGAAATTTTTATCTAAAAACGTTTGAATGAAAAAATTTAAATTATTTCAGGTTTGAATTAATCTTTATGCTGTTAAAACTTATTATAACATCAAAATAGAATTTATTCATTATGGCGAATGTATAAAAAAGGTTTAAGATTTTATTTTTTTGTCGCTTTAACTTCAATTTAAGAAAATTGAAAAAAAAAGTTAACACAGTCATTTAAAAAACAGATGTTTGCTGCTTTTGATTTTTCTTAAAAAAACAGTTGTTTTACTGTTACTGTTAAACAGTGTTCAGAAACCCTAATGGTAACCATGCATTTAGACTCAAATTGGCTTTGCCAGATGATTGTTTTTTAGATATTCTTTGACACTCACTTGTTATAAAATTGATTGTGTGAAGCAAAATTGTAACATTACACCTCATGTAAATCCAGAACTGCTTTAAAAATATAACACAGTTCCCATTTACATGATGAAGGTGTATCAAACATGACATTTACACTGATAAAGGTGTATCAAACATCTGACTGATGGAAAATTATAGCAATGCTTAAATAAAAGCTTTCTCACACAAATGGTTACTTTTCACACCCACCACAGTAATAAATTAGAAGGACTGTCAAGCACTCCAGACCTAAATTAAAAATAATAAAGCTAATAAACCTAAGAATTACTATTGAACCTGACTACATAGATGACCTACATGAAGTTGGCTTACTAGGCTGCACACCTGCCCCTTACTTATTGATTTATTTGCTACAAATAACACTCCTGTTAAAAATGAGCAGAAAAAGCATTCATTAGAACTTATCTTGAGTATGCATGGTCTACTCACCTACAAAGCAACACCAATCCTCTTAGATGTATTCAGCAAGGTGCAGCAAAGACTTTTTTTTGAATCAGCTAAATCAATAAACAATTGAAGGTAAATTAACTATACTCAGTCTTGTGATAAGTAAAGCACAACCTGGTTCAGCAATATAAAATTATAAACAGATATATGTGCATTTACTATCAGAATTTGCGTGGACACAACTAATGAATAACTAGTTCTTGAACCTGTGTCAGGTGATTCATTAATATTAATTCAAATTATTCAGCATGATACTTAATGTCTCAAAAACAAAACAAAAAAAGCTTTCAGAAAATTATAATTAAAATAATCTATAGAATTATTCTATTAATGTATCAGTTTTACTAATTCAAGATTATCTATATTCTTTAATGTTTTTAAAATATTTGCAAATAAATCATCAACATCAAGATCCAAATGTGATACTGATAAATCTGTAATAAAAATAACAAACTGCTATTAATTATGCAAATTAATTGTCAAATAACAGCATTTTTGTTTTAAATTTCAACAAATATTTTGAAAAAGTAAAATTTTTCATTTAATATTTTAAATTGATCACGTTTATACAGGTATACTAGTTTTTACTAATTTATATTTGTCTCAATTTTGCAATTTGCATAAGATGTAAGTTAAGATGTTTACAAAAAATCTATCTATTCAAAGTTTAGAGTTGGCATTTGAAATTATAAACCTAATCATAAATAGCATTAATCAAGTTGTAATAAGTAATAAACAAGAAAAATACTAATTAATTGTGAAAAATTTTAAGTTTTTATATTTTTGATAATTATAAAAATTCGTATAGTTAATGGTACAGTGGTAGAATTGCTTACTTCATAAACATAAAACTTTAAGTTGGACCCTCACCACATCCTTGGTAATGCCATGCTGAACTTGTTTTTTGTGTTAGAATTAAAGACTTGAAAAAGGGTTGTAACAAAAAATAAGTAGACTCTTCAACTGCAAGTGAATACAGTAAAAAGGATTTTAAAGTTTGTTTCAAAAAACAAATCCATTAATCTAACATATTCTTTTTGCATGTACTTTTTAGGTATTACCTATACCTTTAAAATTTTGTTTAGGAAAACTACTTTTTCGTATTTCGTGAGAATGAAGGTGTTTTTTACAATGAGTTGCAAACAAGGTTAATTAAATTTTTTTTTTGATTTTTTCTTTTGCGTTTTTGTTCATTGAAACAATGATATTTCATATTTTGGATTTCATATTAATGTGGTTTCTACTTGAATGTTTTTTTTTTAATTATTAAGGCTCCGAATTTTATTTCTATTTCTGAATAGTATTAAATTACATAATTAGTATAGTAAAAATAATTAAATGAGTAAGTTAAAAAAGTGGCATTTGCATTCTACATTTTGCATTACAATTTATATTATACTTTTTTAAATAATATATAATTTATTTATTTTTGTTATACTTTTTAACTGTGACTTCTAATTAAAAAAAAACAAACCTGTTGCCATTACCCTTTAAAAGGGTAATGGCAACAGGTATAACAATGTATTTATTTTCAAAATTTGTTTTTGTAATAAATAAATGAATACAATCATATCAAACAAATATACGAGTAGTGTAATAAACAAATAAACAATCATTGTATGTAAGCTTTTCCTTCTCTTTTTTGTTTTACAGAGTACGTTTAAATAAAAGAAGAGGTAGAGGTGGAGCTGGTGGTATATCCTCCTCTGTATCAAAGTTAATTGTTAAAAACCGTGAACCAACTGAAAATGAAGTAAGACTTCAGGTAAAAAAATTTTGAATTAGTTATTTTTATTTATGTACAAATTGTTTATACTGTCATTTTCAATTTATGCCTAATAATTTGCTCAATCATAATTCTTTATATTTTGCAATCTTGTACACTTATCTACAGTCAGTCATTTTTTGCAATCTTGCACATTTATCAACAGTCAGTCATTTTTTTTAATCTTGTACACTTATCTACAGTCAATCATTTTTTGCAATGGCATCGTTGGATTGGTTGAGAACCTGAAAATAGTATTAGAGTTTTTAAAACAACATTTTTAAGACTAAGTGTCTTAATAATGTTGTTTTCACTCTAGCAACTTAAAACTTAATGGTTTTCTGCAATTAAGCATAGCTTCATTAACATATCTCTGGTGAAAAATCTCTAAAAATGATTTCAGAAACTAAGCAATATTGGGAAATAAGGACATTATAGATGATTAGACTCAATTATTAAACAAAACGTTTTCAATGTTTAAAGAAATCAAAACTGTTGAAGCAAGTTACAAAAGTTGTGTAACCTGCTGTCAACAAGTTTTATCTGGTAAATCTTTTACTGTTAGATTTTCCAGATAAATTTGATCTGAAGGTTGAAGCTTATTGTATTTAAAATTCAATTCAGTCAAATAAATATGTTTTAGAAATATAGTCAGTTTCTCCTAATAAGATATATATTATTTTTTGAGAGAACATGCTAAGTCTTCGAATTTTATTTAAAATTCATGTTTCAAGTACATGTTTAAGTTTACTGATAAGGAGGCTGAAAAACACAACATAGATTTACAAAAACCTGTTACAAATCTATGAAAATATTTTTTGTTAAAACTTTCTTGTTTTTAAATGAAAGTTATATCAGTACAAAAATCTTAGGTAAATATTTGTCTTTTTTTTTTTTTGAGGATCTGTTAGGTCTTTATATATCTTTTTGACCTTTTGAGGATTTTGAAGAAATGTTAATTTCATATTAATTGTAATTTAGCTCTTGAATTTTCTTTGAACTGTGACAGCTAGTGTTGTAGTTTGGTGATGTCTAGTGTCTGTCTGGTGCTGAAATTTTTTATCACGACTACATTATCATCAGCTTGCACTAGCCCCGTGTGAAGGGAAGTTGATCTAGTTGCTCCAGAATATTCTGAAGTTGTAATTGTTGTTGATGTGCAGACACTGTGAGCTCTGTTATCCTGCAAATAGTTGTATTTAAAGAGATGAGAATGAATGTGTTTAAAGATTATTCTCCTGGTTCCTCAACAATTATGATTCAAAAAGGACCAATGGTTTTTTTTATTTACTGGCTCATGAACTTTAAAGAATCAAATTTAAAGTAGTTTGAGAGGATAATTATTGGCGAGTAATCGATACAATGTTTTTTTTTTTACTTTTTGTCACTCATATTTTCTTTACCACAAATATGAGTGACAGTATCCTAAGTTTTATCTATAAGATAAAATTATCTATTGGAAAAAAATAATAAATATTGTATTGTAATTCATCTTTATAATACAATAACAATTTATTGTTATTGTAATGAAAAAAATTGTAATGTTAAAACTTAGTCATGTGACCAGAAATAGAATCTATTTCTATTTTAATTTTTGAATATCACTTATCCTAGTTGCAAGCTTTACATAGCTCTATAAAAGTGAGTATTATTTGACCTGTTTTTTTTTTACTGCTGGAAATAGATGTATACATAATCAATTCCTATCATTTCTTCCGCTTAGTTTTTTGCTTTTACGATAGGCACCAAATGTTTCAATAACACTTACTCTAGTCTGATAGGTGCTAAGTAATCTGAAAATGTAGAAAAATTGTTGCAGAATAAAAATTCACATGTTTAGACAATATAATATATAACTACCCAGGTTAATGGTTCTAATGCTGTAATTTATTACTCATTAGCGGTTATAAAAATAAACAATTTTCATGCACTTTATGTAGTTAATCAATTAGTTTAGACGTCATCATCCGGTGAAACCAGTTTAGACAAATTTTAAAAAAGATCAAAAGTTTTATTACAAGCAAATATAAATTGTATATTTTTATGACTTCGAATGATTGTTATAATTGTTAATTTTGTTAATTTAAATAAATTATTCTTTAAACATTTATATTATTGAACTCAAAATAAATAAAAAAAGTTACATGTAAGTGGTTGCTAAAAACGGGTCCACGAGCACCTCTGAATTTAATATTTGTTAAGTATACGTAGAATATATACTTCTTTAGCCTTTCTAACTTCACTTTTCAAAATAAATAAAATTATATATGTAAGTGACTGCTAAAAACGATCTTCGCGTGCCCTCTGAATACAATAGTTATTGTAACTGTTTTTCATCACAACAATAAATTAATAATAAATAATGTTTTAATTACATCTCCGGTATTGCAACACAATACTATTGTATTGTAATGTGTTATTGTATTTAATTTTTACAATTACAACAGTCCGAACCCTAACCGTTTTAGCGTCAACTTCATTAAATTTTTTTATGTAACTCTTGTTTTTGGCTCGGTTGTTAAGTGTTTAAATAAAATCGTCGGGTTAATAATGTTAAATACTTCGCTCATACTTAGATTTTAATTCACAAATTGTTTATCTCTTTCAAATGCTAAATTATTTAATTTAGCATTTCAAAGTTTTCAAAGTTTTGAATTTTATTTAAATTTAAACTTAGTTATAAAATCTGGTTTGATATCATCGGAGCCAAAGTCGGAGTCGAAGGCGTAAAGCTCCGAATGATTTTAAAACAGTCGAAGCTTTGTAACATCCGTAATATAAGTGCCGTAATACAAAGAATTACTGTTTAAACATTTAGTTTTTCACAATCTTTAACATACAGTTTTTTTACGGCATTTATTGTTATGTTCAGTGAGACGAATAAGTATAAATTATATTTCTACTATATATTGTGTATTTTAAAGAAATGCAATAAATATTATGTGAATTTCGCTCATCTGTTTAACAGCCTCCTATAAAACGACTTTAGTTTTGCATACAAATTATATTCAATAGAAGCTCATAAATTAAGATTGTTACGACGTTTTTTATTCAATTTTTGAATATTGAATTGACCAAGTTAATAAACTTTATATAAGTTCGACTTTAAAACTATACTTTTTTTAAATTATTTTAAATACTATATTATTACTTGATTAATGCACATTAAAAGTTAGATATGAAAATGTACAAAATAATATCTTACAAAACAAATTTGTTTAGAATGCACGTTTAGTACAACTAGAAAATCTAGCGCCTGACGATGACGATGAAGAAGTTGCAGAAGAAGAGCAAGCTGAGGATAACAAAAACGAACAGTCAAAGCAACCCGAAAAAACATCGAGCGAGCAACCATCTAAAGAGGAAAACAACTCTGATTCAGCAAGCGATTTGTTTGGCTCAAGCTCAAGTGAAGACGAAGATTAAGAAACACGAAATATATTTATTTAATAGATTACTTTGATTTAAATTAATGTAGTGATTTCTGATCGCGAAAAGTAACAATATTTCTACGAAAAAGCTTTTTAACATAGCTTTTTAAAAAGAGCGGTAACGATATATCATTGGAGTTTTTTTACATATGTATTAATTTTAATTAATTTCTTATTTTAAGTTTTTGTTTGATCAAATAATTTTTCGTCAAAAGATCGTATAAAAAATTATAAATACTTTATTTAAATATTTAAAATGTAATTGGTTATTATAACTATAATAAATTTAAAGTATAAACCGTTTAACTATAGTTCAACGGTTAATACATTGCGTTGCTTTTATTTTTTAGCAAGTAAAACTACACAGATGGCTTTAAATAAAGTAGGTTTGTTTTCCCGAAATTATATGTTTCGATTTTCACAACGAATTTCAATTATGACATTGAAAAGTAGTTCATCGCATTTACAAGGTAAAAAATAGTTTTGTTTAGCATTCGAGGTTGTTCCTATTTGTCAATTTTATCATAATCTGTGAATATTTTTTTATTGTTATTTTTTTTTTAGAAAAACGGCTTTTTACTCCTGGACCACTTGGTGTTAGCCCTGAGACTAGAAACGCAATGCTTCGAGACTTAGGTAGTAGGGACACAGAGTTTGTGGATACTGTCAAATTTATACGACAAAAAGTACTTGAAGTAGCCAAAATATCTTCAGAAGATTTTACGATGGTTCCTTTACAAGGAAGTGGAACCTTTTCTGTTGAAGCTGTTATTATGACAATTGTACCCAAGTTAAATGGAAAGTTATTGCTTGCTGTTGCTGGAGCTTACGGAAAAAGAATGGCTGAAATCGCTAAATACTCAAACATCAATACTGTAAATAAATTATTTCTATTTTCATAAAAGTTATATATAATGAAGCGACAGATTTTGACAGCCTTTGAGGTTTGTTTCTCGACAATTTTTGTACGAATTATTTTTACGTATTAGATACCGTATTATAAGTTAATAAGGTCTCTAAGAAGACATTACTATTATAAAAAGGTATTTTTTTTCATATTTTTAAGTTTTGTTTGATAGCTGCCTAACGTAACATGTTTACTAAATGCATAAATTAGAGCTTGTTCACAAACTTATAATTTATATTTATCACTATCACAAAAATTTCTTCGAAATTTTTCAAAATTAAAAAAATTATTGTCTCGATTACTTTACAAAACGGAAGAACTAAAAAAAAAATAACAATTATATCATTTAAGTAAAGTTATAAAAATAAACATAAATAGAGCGAAGAAACCAAAACTGTATGCGTTATTTAATTCAGTTTAGTAAGTTTTTAAAAAATAATATTATTTACTTATTTATAAAATACGTAATATGTTAAACATAACTTAATTTGATTATAAATTGTCACTTAATCACCATTAATTCTGTTAATACAGACGACCATAGTTTGATTAGTATTATGGCAAAATATTGAAATGTCTGCTTAGCTTAAAAATTTTTATCTTTATTTTTAATTCTTAAATATAAATCTTAATAAACTTTTCAGGTTGTGTTAGAGTTTGCGGAGGATGAGAAATGCGATTTAATTACAATAGAAAATGTGTTGAAACATGACAAAAACATTACAAATGTTGCAATGGTACATTGCGAGACAACATCTGGAGTTATTCATCCTATTCATGAGGTTGCACAGCTTGTTCGACAATATAACCCTCACGCGACTTTTTTTGTTGACGCAATGAGTAGTTTTGGTGCAATACCCATTGACATGAAAAACATTGATTTTGTTGTTACTTCTGCCAACAAATGCATTGAAGGTGTTCCAGGTTTTGGAATTGTAGTAGCTCGTAAAGAAAGGTTACTGGAATGCAAAGGTCGCTCAAGGTCACTTAGTTTAGATTTGTATGAACAGTATATTGGGCTAGAAAAAACTGGTCAGTTTCGCTTTACACCCCCCACACACTGTATTTTAGCATTTAAAAAAGCAGTTGAAATATGGGAAGCCGAAGGTGGTGTTGAAGGGCGTGCAAAAAGGTAATTTTTTTCAAATATTTAGCTTTGTTGCTAATATGATATCTTTTGTTTGATTAAATTATTTTCTTTAGATACAAAGAAAACAGATTAGTTTTACGCGAGGGTATGGCCAAACTAGGTTTCAAAGAATTTCTTTCCGATACCCACTCTGGATATATAATTACTTCTTACCGGTATCCTCTTGATACTCGATTTAATTTTAACGAGTTTTACAGCCGTCTTAATGATAAAGACTTAGTTATTTACCCTGGAAAAGTTACGAATGCTGACTGTTTTCGAATTGGCAATATTGGCAACTTAACAGCTAACGATATGCGTGATTTATTAGCGGCAATAAAACAAGTTTGTCAAGACATGGGCATCAAGTTGCCGATTGATTCATAGTTATTTTAATGACTAATATTGGTGCGTCAACAATGTTAAGTTACCAATTGAAGTATAATTACGGTAATTAAAAAGTGTATTAGGAATATAGTTTTTTTTATAGTACAAATATTTTATTATTTTTTATTTATCTAATATATGATTGCTTTTATATTAAATTTTATAAAAAATTGAATTTTATATCATACGAATTTTTTTTTTTATTCTAATTATTGTACTGTTATTTTATGCGCCAAGGATCTCAATTGCAGAAATAGGTATTACTGTTAGAGTTGCTAGTAAAACGAGTGCAATCATCGGGTAGAATTATTTATACTTGTTCATTAAGTAACACACTTTGTCACTATAACTTGTGCGTCCAACGTTTTTTAAACCACTGAAAGATTTCTAAAGTATTCCAGCGAGTAGCTACTATACTGAAGACCATCTTGAATCTGATCTGAAAGTTAGTATTTAGCTAAATCTCATTGGGATTCTATGTCATCACGCGCGTAGTATTTTAGTCAAGTCAATTTTTGAGATAAAGGTGTTGTTTTTTTTTGTGCTTTTTCTACTGCCTATAATTTTACGACAAAGTCGACAAAAAGATGTGTTCAGATACTCTGGCTTACACATAAAAATTGGGCTTAATTTTAATGACTTTAATGCTGCTTTGCTTACTTAGCTAAGGCGTTGCAAAGTATTTACTTTTACCAATGGGTTTTTTTGCCAAGTTCCACCAGAATCTCCACTTATTTAGCAATGCTATATATTATGATTGAGTTGAAATGCCGAATTGATAATCTCAATTACTTCTGATTTGTAGGAGACGGTAAGAGAAAAAGACTTCTACTAGTTAAGGTGGTACTAAATTTTTACTTTAAAAAATAAATAATTATGAAAAAAGTATGTATTATTATAAATTAAAAATTAAATTATACAACTTTTGAAATAATTTGTGAAGAAAAATTATTTTGTCTCTCTTATAAGAATTTTAAAAATAAAAATACTCAGAATGCAATATCTGGTCATTAATTTGTTTTAAAACTTTATCATTACAATGATTTTATAATGATGTAAGATTAGGGCTAGATTCATGTACTGAATGCATATAGTTTAGGAGTAAAGGTAAACTTACCATTTTCAACTAGTTGTTACAACTAGATGTTTCAACTAGATGTTAGGTGGCGGTTCATGAACTAGTTTACATTAAAATATAATATAAAAATTTCATTTTAGTAGCATAACTAAATCTAAATGTATCTTATCAACAGATATCAAAGAGTTCTGGCTACAAATTCACCATTCAATCCGACAAGCATCCTTAGTGCAGTTCCACAGGGTAGCTTTTTGGGTCCAACGTTGTTCTTGTTATATATTAATGATCTACCCTATATAGTAAATGATCTTAATTGCTCTCTAATGTTTTATGCTAACAATATCAAGCTATATTGTTCATTTAAAGATGCCAATTGCATTCACGATCTTGCTGTTGCCGTTTATAAAGTTTATCTCTGATCAAAAAATGGCAGTTAAAAGTAGCCAACAATAAGTGTTTTACTCGTGGAATAGCATCTACTTCAATTTGCAAAAAGGTATAAATTACAACTATCAATTAGAAGATCATAATTTAACCTGGTCTATACACCTAAAAAATCTTTGTGTGATCATAAACTCTTTACTTCAATTGCTATAATTATATTTCAAATATCGTCCGCGCATCAAACAAATTAAAGATATTAATCCTTAAGTGTTTTAAAAGTGATCCACGTGTTATCGTAAAAGCCTACACTATCTACATAAGAGACCGATTTTAGAATTTTACTCTCCGGTTTGGTTGCCAAACCACACTGAAATGAATAAAGCAATGGAAAGAGTGCAAAGACGTTTATATAAACACTCTTTCTCGCTCAGGATTGTTAATACTTGGAATAACTTGCCGTCTGATGTCGTTAATGCCAAAAATATCAAGAGCTTCAAACTTAAAATTAACTCTATCAACTTTGAAAAAAACTTTTCCGGCTAACTAGTTTTTGTTTTATAATTGTGGTCATACATATAAAATATGTATATATATATATATATATATATATATATATATATATATATATATATATATATATATATATATATATATATATATATATATATATATATATATATATATATATATATATATATATATATGTTATTAGGCACGTTGTCAGAGTCCTTTATATTTTATTGGCCTGCGTGTCAATAAAATATAAAGGACTTTCAATAAATCTTTTCCTCGCAAAAACTAAGCAAACTCCAGTAAACCAACCTCTATTTAACTGTAATATTGCTGATGAAACCCAATATCCGAAGCCTTTTTTTCTGACAAATTTGTTATGGGGGCATTTTTATATAATAGAATTCAAAACTTTAGTACAGTCTTTTTTGTATAATAATTCTAGCGGCGAGTCAAAATATCGCTTTTGCGTTGAACATAAAAATTTTTGAAATTTAGCTTGTATATTTTGTAAGCTAAAATGCTAAAATGGATTACTGTAGCAAAAGTTGACTAGATAAGTTTTTAACAACTGTTTTAAGGAGGGTAACAAAACAAAAAAATTTCAGAACTGTATCAAAACTTTAAAAACCACTATTTGTTTCAAATAAGCAAATATATTCTTTGTAACGTTAATATTGCTAAATATGTAGATCTTTCATAAAAAGCAGAAAATTGTCAAAATTACGTTAAAATGAAGCATTTAATACGTTTAAGCTTTGAAACTTTGCAAATGTCTGTCAACCCATGAAATAGAATTGAAATGAAAAAAAATGAAAAAAAATGAAAAAAGAATTAAAATCTCTGGAAACAAACAATAGTTAGTTTTTTTATTTAAAAATTTTTGCTTTTTGCAATATTTTTAGGGGGTAGAACTATGTCAAACACTAAAAAGGCAAAAATTAAACGTATTTTTAAAATTTTTTTACACTCATTCTCTTCATCTAGATATTTTGAATAACTCCTGAAAATTTGAAGTAAATTGCTTGACCCAATATTAAGATATCACGTTGCAAGTCAAACTAAGTATCGTTAAAATGCAATTCTGAGAAAATAAGAAAAATAAACACAAAAGCGTAAAAAATTTAAAATTCTTCAGGATATATAAGATTTTTGTGATGAAGTTTCTTTTATATTATCAATCCAATCTTTTTTTAATGTTTTTAACTTTATCTCTTCTTTTTTTAACTTTGACGTCATCTTTTTTAAGCATGTTTTTTACACGCTTTGTATCTTTTTGATGAAATGACAAATAATTTTTCAAGTCACATTTTACATTAAGAAACTTAAAAACTCTGATAAGTCTGTATGTATCATTATTGAAGTAAAGTATTGAAGAATTAACACCCACTTCAAGCAAAAATCTTGTAACAAAGATATTTTTTGAACATTGAGACCATATTATGTTATTAGGTCCTTCATTACAATTTTGTGTCTCTCCATGAATGCATTTTTTAAGAAGTGAATCATCAGATAAGTAATCAAAATCTTTCTTTATAACATCATAAATCCACATAGGAATATTAACTTTAGGCTTGTAACTATTAATTCTTTTTCACAACTCTTCCATCTATACCAACTATTTAATCCTCTAGGGCATAGTATATGACGCCGCAATTTGTCTGGAAAGTTAGTACAACGATGATAATGATACAATGAGGTGGTGTTTAACTCTTGTTTTCAGCACTATTTTCCAAAAACCCATTAAATTTTCTTTTTCTTTTATTGTTTTTTAATTTCCCATTGCTATATATATCCGCTCTCCAAAAAACGTTTTCTACCTCCAAAAAACCCGCTCTCCAAAAAACGTTTTCTACCTCCAAATCTACCAAAAAATTTTATTGATCATATTGAAATTAAAAGAGATTCTGTTACTAAATACTTATGGGTTTTCATTGACGAGAACATCACATGGAAACATCATATTAACTATGTTTGCTCAAAAGTTTCAAAAAGTATCGGGATTTTATATAAGACGCGTACTCATTTAGATAAAAATAATTTAACTAAACTTTATTACTCTTTTATCCACCGTTATATAAGTTATGGAGTTATTGCTTGGGGTAGCACTGATCAAAGCAAGTTACAATGTCTCTATCGCCGTCAGAAATATGCGATCCGTTTAATTAGTTGTGCGGATCGGTTCGCACATTCCTCAATATTTTTTAATCAAATGAAAATCCTAGATTTATATAAACTAAACGTATATAAAAATTTATCTTTTGTCTATATGTGGAATCATGATTTATCTCCTTTAATTTTTGAAGATTTTTTTATTTAGAAACCATTAAGCAAGTTTAACATGAGGAATAATAATTATTTGAATGAACCATTCTGTCGAGCAAAATTCAATCAATTTTGTATCACTTATCGTGCAGCTCTTCTCTGGAACTAAATTATTTTGCCTAACTTCGAATTACCCCTTTAACACTGTTTTTAAAACTTTAACACTGTTTTTAAAAATAGATTAAAAGACCACATTCTTTCTATTGAAAATATCTTAGAATATTTTTAATTTATCTTGTGATAATAAACAAAATAATAATAATAATAAACTTTATTGTCATATATGTTCAAGTTTTGTTTTATACTTGTTTACAATTTATTTTCATTTATGTAAATACGATTTATTGTTTTTATATGATTTTTACGTACTTTTATTGTAAAAAGGCGTTTTTGTAATATGTTACGTACTCTTTTTTGTAAAAGGCTTCTGACGATAAGATCATTGTGATCTTCTTTTAGAAGCCTTGTTTGTATTTGGAAAATATGTAATTTATATATATTACGTCAAATGTAAACAAACAAATATATTTAATTTAATATATATATATATATATATATATATATATATATATATATATATATATATATATATATATATATATATATATATATATATATATATATATATATATATATATATATATATATATATATATATATATATATATATATATATATATATATATATATATAGTATAGTGACGCTTTTTTATACTAACCGACAAACTATACAAAATAGATTAATTTTCAAAATAAGTTAGATAAAATTTGCCTTACCATTGTTAAAATGGATCATTAAAGCATTATATCACTTAAATATTAAAAAAAAAAATTTTTCATAAAAAAAACTTTTTTTTGTGGTTATCCACCTTAACTATCTAGTAGTAATTATAAAAAAAATCATGATCTACGTAAAGTAATCGTTTTTTGAATACTTTGACACTAGGTATAAATACCAAAGTTTTAGACAATTTCCACTACTTGGTTTAACCTAATCTTTTGCTTCCCGTTTAGCTATAAGTTTGTTACGTTCTTAAAAAACGCTTTTTTGGCAAGTAACTTATTATACCTCTCCAAGATTTTATTTTGTGTTGTAGTATTTTTGATGGATTTAAAAACAAAATGCTATATTCTAAATGTAAAGATATAAAACACCTTTTTGTAAATACGGCAAAAATACTTCCACTTCTTATCTACACCTTTTCTGGATCAATTTAAAAGAAATACGAATCAATTTAAAAGAAATACGAATCAATTTAAAAGAAATACGAATCAATTTAAAAGGAATACGAATCGATTCAAATGAGTATTTCTTTTAAATTGATTCGTATTTCTTTTAAATTGGTTCGTATTTCTTTTAAATTGATTCGTATTTCTTTTAAATTGATTCGTATTTCTTTTAAATTGATTCGTATTTCTTTTAAATTGATTCGTATTCCTTTTAAATTGATTCGTATTCCTTTTAAATTGATCCAGAAAAGGTGTAGACATTTATTAATTAATTTCTAATCTATAAATTCATTATTAATCGTTCAAAAAGGATAACATAAAAAATTAACAATAAATTAGTTCTGAATATTGTTTACGAATTTTTTAAACTTCCATCTTTTATTTGCATTGCTTTAATGGCTTAAGACGTTTTGAAACAATATCATTGGATAATTTTTGTTAAAAGTGGAATGTGATTGGTTTACTTTATATAATTACAATTACGTTGTGTTTAATATAAAGTTATGTTACTACTGAGATTGTTCCTTGAATTGACGTATTTTAACTTCATTCTCCCTCCAGTCTGTTATCCCTGCTTGATATAATAAAGTTCATATTATAGAATTCAATACTTAATTTTTGAACAATTTTTGGAAAGAATTCGTTTTCTGTCCAAAATTTATGATATTGAGTAAATACTAAGTAATACTAGATATTGGGCTAATACTTTATTACCATTACAACGTCATTGTCAAATAAACAACCATAAAAAAAATCTTTTACCTCATTGGTGTTAAACGCGCTAAGGCTCAGGCTCCATCTGGGATTTTGTTGCTGGGGTTCACCCCTTACCGGTAAAATTTATCATGTGTTCAAAAATTATTAAAAATAAATAAAATTAATAATATACTTAAAAATAAACAACAATTTAAAAACAAAAATATTATACACAAAAACTTAAAAAAAACAAAACAATAAAACTACAACTGGGCGATTCTCAGGAACGGAAGAAATGTTTAAATCAAATGTTGAAAAGCAAAAGTGGCTCTTGCTTTAAATTGAAAACAATACTTTGCTCATGCAACGTTTTGTAAGCTATGCGAAAGTATAAGTGATTCACGATTCTACATGAATCTATAGAAAACCATACATTATATCTATTACAATTAAATATTCTGCCATCATCAGCTGATTAGAAGATTTTGAAAATCATTCTGAAAACTCAGCCAAGAAAAAATCAAAAGAAGACGGTTTTTAATCTTTTCTTAAATTTGAAATATTTTTCAAATTACAAAAAACTCAAATTTTTTGTAATTTGAAAAAAGTTGAAAAGTTTAACACGTTAAATCGTGTTGAAAAGCAAAAGTGGCTCTTGCTTTAAATTGAAAACAATTAGTGATCTTCACGATGTTATTTTACGATGTTAATTGTATTTTTTTCTAAATATTCTATTTTAAAAAATTTTGAAAAAAATTTCAGACATGCTGGTCAAATTTTGCAAAGCAAAAAAAAAACAACCATCAATGCGCAAAAAGAGATGTTAAAAGTAGGTCCGAGCAATATTTGTTTCGAAGTCTTATGGCATGCAGCCGTTTTAGCAGCTGAATGTAGTGTAATTGAAAAACCGAAGATGCCACAGAAACGTAAGATTGCATCAAGATTTACTGGAGTTGTGAAAGTATTTGTTTTGTGTGGTAACGCTTATTTAAGAGCTAATAAAGACCCATCTTACCCTATCAAACATTTGGTTTGAAAAACGCAGTTCTACTAAACATGCATTTATTCATTAAAATCTCAAACTTTTTAAAAAATTGTTGATACGCATTGAGTGTTATTATCGATCCATCTTGATATGATGTGATATGGATCCATCTTGATATCATAAGGTAAAGTATTATACAAAAATGATTATTTTTTCTATAATACTTATTTGGCGGCTTGAGGCGGTTTATATTACTTCTCAAGTTAAAAAAAAATTTAAGGGAAACTTGACTTACTCTACTTTATGAGCTTTTTAATTTTTATCTAATTTAATTATGCAGATATTGCGCAATTAATATAACTAAATAATCGTCAGTTTGGACACGCAATTAATTATATTAAATCATGAATATTATATTAATTAGATTATTTTGCGAATTAATTGTTTAAATTTTGACTTGATTTAGTGTTTATTTTAAAACACGAATTTAGTTACTGAATATTGAATCTAAACTAAACGTAATTGAATTGTATTTTTTATTTATTATCTTTTTTTCAGGTAAACCATATATAAATACGTTTTTTATCATGAAATATATAACAAAAATATGTAAGTATATATGATCAAAATAATTTTTTATAAGAAATTTAAAATTCACTATTGAATTTATTTGAATATTGTAAATTGTTCTACACCTGATGATGTCTCTTAGTGATAAAACATATAGTTCAAATGTTTTAAAAAAATTGTACCTTAAATATATTGCTCTCGACATGCTAAAGGTTGCTTCTTATGGCGTGTTTAGGAGAGTTTTTGAGATATTAAATCGTTCTTTTTTAATCCGAAGTATTAAAGTCTTCTCAAAGGTCAATGTTCTTTTTCATTTCCTGTTAAGTCTACGGTATCACAAGGCTCCATCCTTAGTCTTGTATAGTTCGTAATTTAAGTTAATGGTCTTACTGATAATCTTAAATTTTAATTTTTTATTATTTATATTATATTATATTAAATTAAATTATATTAAATTATATTAAATTATATTAAATTATATTAAATTATATTAAATTATATTAAATTATATTAAATTATATTAAATTATATTAAATTATATTAAATATTAAATAATAAAATATAATATAATATATCAATATCTAAATTTAGTTCTTTAAAAACAGGGCTCTCATGGAAACCATACAATGAATTCATTTGTGAAGGTTACCTCTCTTTATCCTGCTCACCATGTCTTTACTCACGAATCTATCTTCTAGCTTTACTAGTCTCTTATTTCTCTACAAATATCTTATTCGTCCCTGTATGGAATACTGTTGTCATCTTTGGGCTAGTTCTTCGAAACAATGTCCAAAAATTGTCTATTAGCTTGAACCAATGTCCCATAGTTGTAAGGTGGCATCTCTTTCTCCTTTCTACAAACTTTTCATATTCGCTGTTCAAACGAGCTATTAACACTATTTCCGTTCGTTAAAACTTAATCTCGTGTAATTCATCATTCAAAAAATTTACTATTTATAATTCTTTTTACTGTATCTGTGCCGCCATGCTCTAAAAAGTTTTATTTGTCTAGTTTTTACCTAGCATATCAATTCTTTGGAACACTCTTTCACACAGTTTACAGTTTGTTCGTTTTCAAGCTCTTTGACAACTTTCTTATTTTTCTTTTGGTAACTCGCAACTTATATAGTGGTTGCTAGCAGCTTTGTAGGGAGCAAACAATTTTTTTATAACATTTTTACTTACGTTATATTAATTTTAAAAGTTATGTCCAAGAATATAATATATTATATATTAGTTTCTTGGACATGATTTTAAAAGTAACATAACGTAAGTAAATATATATATAAGAGTTAAAATGTTGTATTATTTGTTAAAAAAAAAAGATCAGCTGTTATAACAAAAACTTTATTTTGAATTTCACAATAGAGAAAATATAATAGAGCTTAAAATTTTTTGAAGAATCGTTTACTTTGTTTTCATTTTTTGTAAGTAAAAACGTCGTTTGCAACAACCTTAAATAGCGTTACTTGGAAGAAAAATATTTAAACCAAAGTTTTTATATAGGTATTTTTTAATTTATTTTATAAGGATAAAATTATCAACAAAAAGCAACTTGAGGTACAAGAAACAAATAAAAGAAAATTTTCTCGAATTATTTTAACTTTTATAGCTTTTTTGTTTGTTTCAAAATTGACAACTGTTTTATTGCATTATTATATTTTACAATATGTTAAAACTATATGATATTTTAAATGCCTCTTTAAGTATATTTATATTCTAAAAATAAAATATATTTTCAAATTTAAATACTTATTAAAATGTCATACAACATCTCCCAGCAAACATTCCATAGCGGATTTTCAGTAGACCGATATAGGCATTTTGAGCGGATCGTTGTAGTTTTGCTTATCTGTTACTTAGTGGGCAATTAGTAGCAGCCGTCGAAAGTGGCCAGCCGATGACTAGCCACGATTAACATGTCGGAAAGTTATCGTCTGTGCCAAAGAATCCAAAGAATCGCTAAAAAATATAGATCCACTAATCCACAAATCTACTAAAAGAATGTTTGGTGGACAGCGTCGGATTCAGCATTTTTTGATATTTGAGACTGCTATCCTCCACGGATGGAACAAACTTTAAACAAGTCGGTAAAAAGTTTTTTTAAAATATTCTCAAATAAATTTTTATTAATCTATAAAATTTAAATATTATACAGTAATATAGCGTTTAAAATTTATGAGTATAAGCTGATGAGTATAAGTATGAGTTTATAAAGTTTAAATCCCCTTAATTTAAGGGTATTACAAATTTTATAAGTTTATACTTTTTGAACGCTAAGAGATTATTACATTAAACAAGAACTTATCGGTGAATGTAAATTTATTTAAAAATAATTAAAAAAAGGATTTTATCAACTTGTTGCTTTTATGCTTTCGAGAATTTGCGGCTAAATTTTAGGCCTTTTTTGTTCCCAAGCTCTAATCATCACAATTTTTTGCAAAGCATCCTTATTTAACATAATTATAATCATATAACGTTTGGAGTCTGTTTTATGTCTGGAAGTTAGCTATTTCAAATATCAAAAAAGCTTTATCCGCCCCTGAACATCATTATTTATTGACATTAAAAATAATTAAGAGATCTAACATAAATTAAATTACTTTCAATATAGTTTTACTTTAATAATAATTAAATTTAAAAAAGTTAAAAAAAAAATTATTCAAATTTTGTTACAATTATGTTTTCAATTTTTATTTATAAAATGCAACTGAAGCGCGTGTTAATTTTGGATCAAAATGGTGTATCTAAAACGTTTATTTAGTTTAGCCAAAGACGCGCAATAGACTAGCCAGAGGGATAATGAAGCCAAAAACGGTTTTAAATTATGGTACAGTCTTTGTAACATAAATATTCTGACGGTAAGTCAAATGCCGGCTTTAGGATGAAAAAGCAAAAATTTGAAAGGCAGTTTGTTCGCTTTGAAAGCTATAATCAATGTGGATTACTCTCTTAAAAGTTTACTGGATAAGTTTTTAACAAAAGTTCGAACTATCAAGAAGTAATCACTACAAAAACCACGATCAACGTAATCGTTTTTTGAATACCTTTGTAGTAATTGTTTTTTGAATACCTCGATAGTAATTGTTTTTTGAATACCTCGATAGTAATCGTTTTTTGAATACCTCGATAATAATCGTTTTTTAAATACCTCGATAGTAATTGTTTTTTGAATACCTTGATAGCAAGATAAATATCAAAGTTTAAGACAATCTCTAATACTTTTTTAAACTTTGTCCTTTGAATTCCCTGGTAGCTATAAGTTAAATTCTTAAAAAACGTTTATTTGTAAATTTATTGAACCCCTACAAGTTTTTATTTTGTGTGGTAGTGTTTTTGCAAGATTTAAAAACAGCTATAAATTTAAAAACAGCTATATTTTAAATTTAGGAATATAAAAGACCTTTTTTTGTAAATCGGGCAAAAATGCTATAAATTCTAGTCTAGACAATTTATAATTCAATTCTTATCTAAAATTTTATAATTAGCTGTTTTAAAAAACACTACAAAAAAAAAAAAAAAAAAAAAAAAAAAAAAAAAAAAAATAATAATAATAATAATAATAATAATAAATAAATAACTCTAAATTTTGTTTTTGTATTTTTACTAGCAGGTCATCAATATGAAAAGTAGAGAAGTTGACATTTAAATGATTTTATGTTGAAGTATGGATGTATGATTAGATTTTATGTTGGGGAATAGATGCATGATTATACTTTGGTAATTTTAAGATTATTAGTCTTGAAGATTCCTTTATGAAATCTTAATTCATTAAACAACACTTTAGTAACTTCAATAAACTTTATGTTAGAATTAGAAACTTCAATAAACTTTATGTTAGTATTAGAAAACATTTTTTCCGAAAAAGAAAAACCAAATTGAAAAAAATTCAAAATATCGTAGTACTTATTCATAATCTGCATCCGTATAAAGTAGGCCCCAAACTTTAGTTTCAAATAGCAAAAGTTAATTTTACCTTTCTTTTTTAGAGAAGTATATCGATGGCTCCAAACTTCGACGCCGTATCATTACCTTGTCTCAATAAATGTATTGAGTTGGGAACTCATCAAACGTTTTCTTTGTCCGATTATGTTGTAATACACCTGTGTAAACCTCCTTGTATCGAATGCGAATTTATAAATATATCTTCAAAACAAGCATTGCAAATTATCTTAAAGGAAGAAAAAATGAAAAACGAAAGGTACAGAGAAAAGATTATAGAGTTATCTAAAAGGTATGAACAATCGAGACGAAAAGTTAAGAATCAAAAGCTCAGGATTGAACAACTTTCGAAACAACTTCAAACAGAGCAAAAAAAAACTTCTGAAAACGACATTGAAAAGTTTGTTGTTATTAATTTAGATACTAATCACTAAATACTAGAGGTACTAATTACTATGAATGTTTACTTGATAAAAATAAGAGAAATTATAAGTTTTTATTCCTTTTATTTTTTTTGAGATATTATCATTTTATTTTGTTTAAAAGGTATCTCATATGAATGAGTAAATGTGTTTTTTAAATTATCTTCTTTTTATAGAGAACATTCAAAACTAATATTGTTTATTAATATTTTTGATATTTCGAGAAGATATGGGCAGTTCAATTATCACACAACAACATTAAAATGTTTTTACAAAATCTGATCATTTTACTCTCATCTGCCCAAAAAACGGAAGGTAACAATGCGAAGGATGGGGATAGGGTCATAAAAAAGAGGAGGGTTGAAAATTTTTTCAAAATTTAATAAATGGAGGAGGGAGGGGAGGGGTGGGGGTCAAAACAATGGGAAAAATAAAATTTTAAAAATTTTTTTAATTTTTAAAAACATTAAAATAGCTAGAGAATGTTTATCCTCCTCTCCTTATGAACAAATTATTTTAATATCTTAACCCGTTAACAGTTCATGCCGTATTATTACGCAATAGTGGTTGGGGTAAAGTTGGGTAATTTCGGCGTATTAAGCTATTTTGCAGTTTATAGACAACGGTTGCTTTAATAATGTTAACAAATCATGCATATCGATGCACTGCAGATATATCTATTAAATAATAGTTAAAAAATTGTTTCCAACTTACAAAGTTTTACGTAAAACCTGTTTTACAAAATACTCAAAAATGACGAAATTAGCGACCTAGTATGGTATTTTCGGCACTATGGTACGGTAAATTCGGCATAGTTATGAAAATTAAGAAGTTTGTTGAAAACGCATTAGTATATTTAAAATATTATAAACAGCTATAAATCTGGATTGTATAAAGAATTGTCTCTTAAATAGAATTTGTTACACCTAATTGGCACTTAATTAAGGGCGTTTCAGTTGCAAAAAATAATAATTTTTGAACCACCTGTTTATTTTATTAAAGTATGAATGTATAATGTATAAAGTATGAATGAAAGTCATGTATTTTTAAAGTATGAATGTCACCTTTTTTATTAAAGTATGAATGTCACCCAAAACAGAAACCTTATTAAATATAAATGTGCTTCCAAAGTATAATTGTTAATGAAACGATTACTAATTTCTACGATTTCGATGATTATTTCTAAATTCTGTTTAAATAAGAATTTATGTTTATAAGTAAAATATTAAAATATTTTACATAACTTCAATAGTTAAACTTAAAAAAATAAAAAACAAAACTCAAAGAAAACTTTTTAACAAGAGATTTATTTAAGAAAGTTAAAACACATTTTATCAATATATGACATATAACTTTTTTTTTAAGAATCAGTGCTTTATACAGTCATCACAAGTAAATACTTTTTTAATACAAACACCACATATAGCAGCACATGTTTCATGCCACCATCTACAGCATTTAAGGCATTTATCCCAATTATCTTTTAAATAAGGATCGACAGGATCACCATAACTGTATTGACACTTTGCACAAAGTTGTTTATTAATCGCACTTTTAGCATCAAGGTTTTTCAAACACGTCTTTTAATGAGTAGATATACTTTTTTTAATGCACATTTTAAGTGGCTGTCTGTTCTTATATTTCAAGTTTAAAGATTCCTCTAGCTGAGATTTATATAGTGATCCAGTAATTTTTTCAGCATGATTTACCCACCTTTTTATACCTGTTCGCTTTGCATTTTTAATGTCAAGTCCAGCTAGTGATCCAAATGTAACACCATAAGGTTGTGAGGTTTCATCGTGTGAGGTGGCTAATTCTGATGATTTCTGAAGTGTAAATGATGAATTTGGTGAAATAGATTCTAAATAAAAATTATTTAACTAAAGAGGGTGAATAAAAATAGGCAACATGCAAATTATAAAAAATAGTTAAAATGTTTTTTAAAAAATTTGAACTTTCTTTAAGAAACCTTTTTTTAGGTTAATAAAAAACAGATAAGTTAATATTTTGCTTGATTTTAAAAAAGTCATATTTCTATTATAAATAAAAGAAAGATGTTAAAAATAATACAACATTTATGACGATTTACCTTTTTGAGTGTCAATAACACAATCTGTAACAAAATCAATATTATCTAATTCTTTAGCAGAGTCTAACCCATTGTTGAGAGTAGGGTGCATTTCAGAGGTATTATTTGGTTTTAAAATTTTTGATACAACATACGAGTGATCAGTAGCCTTGGCTGCAGCAAAGTCTTCTTCAGTAAACACATTTCTATCAAATGGATATACTCCACATTTTTTGAACCCTGACTTACAATTTTGAACAGTTGCAGCTTTCCCATAGGCTTTTCCAAATAATTCACCAACCTCTAGTTCAGTTACGGGACGACCAGGATGGTGACGAAGCCAAGTTCTAACCTCCTGATCATAGAATATTTTGAGGCTTTTAAAAAACAAAACATTAAGTGGTTGCAGTTTGTGGGTGCAGTTGGATGGAAGTGATAAAATAATAACATTTGGGTGGCACACTTTTTTAATAACACTAAGATTTTTTTTATGACTTGAATGTCCATCTAAAATTAGAAGAACTGGTTGGTTTCTTGACTGAGGCTGGACTGCTTGTAAAAAATGATCAAACCATATTTCAAACAACTCAGTTGTTATCCAGCCATTTTTGCTGCCACCAGAAATAGAACCTATTGGGGCTCTATCTAAAAATTCAGGTTTCACTCGAATACGTGGATAGATCAACATCGGAGGGACAAAAAACCCGCTTGCTGATTGGCAACAAACTATTGTGGTTGTTTTACCTCTTTCGGAGCTTGTTAAGCCACCAACACTGTGTTTTCCTTTAAGAGCAACAATTTTTCTTGGTTTATGGCAAATAGACAATCCAGATTTATCTACGTTGAATAAGTTTGATGGTGGAATAATCTGCATCCCATTAGCATTAAACATTATTTTTTCTATTTCATCGTAAATATGATTAACGTTTATTCTATTAAAACCAATGGCTCGATGCAATGACGTTGAATCAGCAACTCTGACAGAGAGTTCATTATGGCGTTTCAAAAAACCCGTAAACCATTCTTTTCCTGCTGACTTAGTTGCACAATTAAATTTGTGAATAATTCTATTTTCTTCACAAAACTGAAATACCATTTGTTTTACATCTTTTGGAGACAAACCAAACAATCTCTGTGACATGGTCAGAAGAACTTCTACAAGCTCTTTTTCTTGAAAAGCTGAGAGTGTTGTTGGGTGTCCTGCACGTAACTTTTTAACAAAATTATCAACAGGTGCTCATTTTATATAGTCATGTAATGTTTGTCTTGGTTTTTATATTGTTTAGCAGCAGAATATTTCGAGCAACCATCAACTAAAACTGCATTTACTGCCAGTTTTAATGATTCTTACGACCAATTACCATATTTTACACGTTTTTAACTCATTATATGATGCTGTAAAATAATGTTTACATATATATATATATATATATATATATATATATATATATATATATATATATATATATATATATATATATATATATATATATATATATACATATATATTTATATAAATATATATATATTATTATTATTACATGTATATTATTTAATAATATTCAACAGTATGTATATAATTAATAAATGATTTGTTATATACAATATATAAGCCGAAATTATCTCCTTAAAGCAGTCCTAGGAAAAAACTCTTATATCTTGTAAAATACTTTGAGTTTAATTTTATTGTTGCTCACATTTTGTTCAGTGTATATTTTTGAATGAAATAAATACAAATTTTTGGTAGAAATTTTCGGAAAAAATCATTTATCCTCTATTTTCAAAAAGGAAAAAATGTTAAGAAAAAGCTAATAATCATAAAATAACGTACCTATAATGTAAAAATAGAAGTTTAAACCAATATTTTTAGAAAAACTGTTTATCTTTCTATAATACTCAATTATAGTTTTGATATTTCATTAAATAAATATTTTTAGGTGTCTTTTGAAGTGGTGCCGAAATTGCCCTACTTTACTCTATAGTGGTTTCTAAATGTCTATGCCGTAATATTACGCAAATTAAGAGTGGTTCACATGCCTTAATATTGCGAGGTTAGAATTATTTTGTTCTACCTCCACAAATCGAAAAAATTGAATTAGATCTTTTTTTTCTTTTTATGGATAAAAAATTTATTTTTTACAAATAAACCAGTAACATAAAAAATAATTTACTATACCTGACTTACTATACCTGTCAAGTCAACAAAAATATTTTTGTTTTGATACCTAAAATAACTGTTACATGGCAATATGTAGTCATTAAATTCAAAAATGACATTTTTTTTTTAACTACTCTCTTTATTTTCTATTCTACATAACACCCTTTTTTATATAACAACCTTTTTTGGGGTGCTAAATGGTTTAACGGTATTACATCTAAACTACTACTGCTAACATGGATGTAAAAACTACTTGAAAATTTCTGCAACAATTTTTTTTTATGTAATAAGATAAACAAGTGTGTATTACTAAAAATATAGTCCGAATTAAAAACTAATATAACCTGATAAAATAATAGATAACTATTAACTTATTAAAAAGGCAAGTTTTTAATTTATTTGTTTAAAATTTGAAAATGCTCTGCGAATATTTTTAAAAAAGTTATCTTTTTTAAATTATACTTTTTCAGAAACCGTTTTATTAGTCTTAAAGTAATGCGAAGAGGAAGAAATATAATGACACCAATTGCGCAGCTCTTAGGTGTCTATTAATTTTGATTCAGTTTGCAGCAGTTATTTTTTTTTTAAAACAAATGATTTATTTGATTTTTGCTATAACAAAAGAAACATGAGTATTTGGTAAAACCACTTCGTTATCTTAGCAAGAAGCTTACCATTTTTAGATTTTTCATTTAACCCAGAATAATTTTCTTGATAATCTATAGCACAACTTTAATATGGGCGTATATACTTCTTTTTAAATATTTAAAAAGAAGTTTGTACGTATAAAAGAAGTATGTAAATATTTAAAAAGGCTAATGGATACTGCTACTTTAGTATAATAGAATATA